ATTATATCCACTCTATTATATCCACTCTAGGAGGTGCCATCATCTAGAGCCTGAATTGGATGCCATTCCTTTTAGTTCTATAAACTCTGTTATTCCTAATTGTAACCAACACATCAGCTACTGAATCCTAAAATGTGGTTATTACTATGTGGAGAAGGAATGAGCTGACTGACAAGGGATAATTCATTTGGAAGTTCTAGCCTGCAAGGAGCAGCAACCTCTTGCTACTGTGAACCCCCAGTGAGTGACAACTATGTCTAGAAGGGATTAAGCTGCCTGAAGAAAACCTATGGCAAGTTTGTTGGAAACAACATTTAGACAATCTGTTTTGGGTCTTTTTTCCAGAAACCTTGAATAAATGGCTTCTTTTGGTGCCTTGATCCTTTTCTGGGTCTCAAAATCACCTAGTGAGTTTCTATGAGGGAAAGTAGTCTTGAACTTTAGATTTCCCTTACCACCCTATCTTGATTAGGTGAGTTTCCTACAAGCTGAGCTTGAGGGCTGTTAATTTTATGTTGATGGAACAATAATGCAAACAAGATTGCCATGGCCTTCATCCAGGAGGGCTTTTCCCAGTTAGTCTATAGCCCTGAAGTTTCCTGGTGATTGCCTACCATTTCTGACTCCATTCAGCTTTTCTGAAATCAACCAAAGTTACCTAGATGGGTAATACAAAAACACACATTAATCTGAATAATCAGACGGCAGACAAGAAAGATGACACCTATTTCATCATTAGATGTTTCTATGCACATGATGGAGCATAGAGTTCATGGATTCCTTTTTGCCAGAATTATTCACCAAATGTGCCCAACCTCGATCGCTATAATTCTTAATCCAGAAACCATCCTCTTTTCAAAACCACGAGGTTCTCAGTTATTCAAAGGAAATTAGACTGAACGTCTGAAGCGAAGATCAGCCAGGCAGGTCGCATGGGGAGGAAAATACGGTTCGGCATAGCCAAAATACGGTTTGTACAAGACCTCTTTCCTCTTCTGTACAGAGTGAGAAGCCAAGCGCTTCCAAAAGAGCTTGCTCTGCCCACCTCCGGAGGACCTTGCTGCCTTCGCGCTCTGTCACTTGGTTTGGCTCACCAAGTGATTCCAAAAGAGCGTGGCAATTTCCTTCCAGCAAACCTCGCCCAGCGCCGGTAGGATCTCGGCCGCCTCTCGCGCGCAAAACCCACCTGCTGCTCGCCGAGGAAAGAGGGAGGCCGCCTGCGAGCGCCTCCGGGTCCCCCTGCAGGAGCGACACGCCGTTTTCCCTGCTGCCTTTACTTCCCCCAGTCCAGCTCCTTTTGACCACCTCACCATCCCGCTGAGTGGGCTGAGGGACGCCTCGAAGTAAACGGGAGGGCTGACCTGACTGAACGGAAGAGGTCTGAGGGAGGAGTGGATTCCTCCACCGGTGACAGATGGTCCGCCTGCCTTCCAGCAGGAACGTTTTTGGTGGCATTGATACAGTCATCCCCACCATCGGAAGTGCAGAACTTTCTTGGGAAAACACAACTTTTTTTTTATTTCATGCGTCAGATTCATATGGCATTTTCGTAATAGCAATGAATATTATCCTCATTCATTTTACTGTCTTACTGTACTTGCTGAAAACTCCGTACAACTAATATTTAAAGGATCAAGAGCCACGTAGATAGCTAGTTGACTTAGGATACCATAGTTAGGAAAATTGCATTCAATTGGTTATCTTCAAAGGGACCCTAGAGTAATTGGGGTCAAATTGGGTAATTTTGAGGATTTTGAAATTTGTTAAAGGCTTGGAGTTAAATGTATGGGTTTTGCAAGTAAAGTCAGCTACAGATCACAGAAATGGGTCAGCATTCAGTTAAGAACAGGAAAAAGGATTCCTAGATTAAACTACTACACAATAGTATTGGAAAAATATTTTAAAAAAGTATGAATAACAGAATCATAAAGGAGTTTTGTTGGTTCTTCTTTAGGGAAATAGGGATTAAACAGACTTATTCAAAATGAAGATTCAAAATGGAAAAGCAGAAATATAAATCAAAGTAAATATATATTGTCATCTATTTTATAAATAATCCTAACAGATTTTAAAATAGGTTGATTACACCTTATTTATCTATTTGTTGTATAGCACCTTCATATAGAAAATTGTGTTTGTAGGGTAGGAAATTACATTTTATTGTGTTTATAAACTAGGTATTTTGCCTTCAAGCCTAAGTGAATTAGATAATTATTCAGCCATTTTTAATAATGAAATATTGTCCAAAGCTACTCAAATGTTACTAAGTTTGAAATGTTTGTTTTAGGACTGCTGCTTAAAATCTTCAAGTGCATTTTCCCATACTCTGTTTCCAATTAGACCACTTGTTTAAAGAAAGATAAACATTTTTCCTATTCACTCTCTGCTATTGTGGAACTAAAATACACCTCTGACATACATTTGCTTGTCATCTAGTGACAACCTCTCTAGAGCAAAAATGCACTATATTTGCAACTCTCAGCTTTGCATGAAGCTTTCATCAATACTACAAGGCAGTTTTACATGACCAGCAGAAAAGCCCCTTTTACAGGCTGAGTAAACATCTTTGTTTGGAACAGCATATTTCATTTTAATTAAATGGATACTCCCCTAAGTGAAAATATTTTCATTTCATAATCTGTTTCTAGTAGTTGATCACAAAATAAAGTGAGGTACCAAACTACATTTTAATACAGATGTACTGTAGTTTTTCTAATAAAATTTTATTTAGGAGGACCATTTTAAAGAGAAAAGCAGATGAAGGAAGGGAGTTACCTTTCCTGCACATATGTTTAATTTGCCTTCCATTTTCCTCTGAGGTATAAGTAAACAAATGCTTGGTATCCCTACTGATTTGGAAAATGAAAATGAGCAATGGGATTAAGCATTAATCACCTCTCTACCTTATCTCTTCCCTTTTCCCTTTATTATATAATTGGAGCACATCTGGGAACTTCATTATTCATACTTTCATGTAACTTGTAATCTTCCCCTAGAACTTAACAAATGATTTGTCAAGGTTCCGACAGATGAAACTCTTCAAAGAACTTTGAGGCATTGTTTACCTTAAAGAATCTTTATTCGAGCAGCATAGCATCGGCACATACATAAGCAAAGCCAAAATCTGGATTCCCCTCCCCTTAGCATATAGTATCAAACACAATTCCGTCCTCTAATTAACAGTCATAAATCATATTCTCCAATTTGAAATGCAGGCTTTCCCTCCTTTATTCCAACCCATTTCTTATCATCTCTTATTTCAAAATCCCTGAGTTCACACACTATTACAATATTGTTATGTCTAACTAACTCCCATCACATTTCTCCTCCTCCCCCAGTATCATCTAATTCTAAGAGTAAAGCGTAAGAAAGAAAAAGGCTGCATCTCCATATGTTGTCAAAGCAAGAACATCCAATGTGAGCAGCGTTGACATGATTTGTTAAAAGGCTGTATATTATTATTATTATTATTATTATTATTATTATTATTATTATTATTATTATTATTATTATTATTATTATTATTTATTAAATTTATATACCGCCCTATCTCCCTTACGGGACTCAGGGCGGTGAACAGGCGATACTAAAAACCACGATAAATATGCACAAGTTTCTGTTGTAAAATCAAATATAAAATTACTTTCTAAAGGGTTTTTTCTTGAATGTTCCTTTTACCTTTCCAATAAAAGTCTTAGTTATTAAAAGAGTTTCCAATGGCAACAATATACAATAACACTCAATTCCTTTTAAAAATATTTATTTATATACAGTATTTTATGTATTACAAATATTGTAACACATAATCAAGTGTTCAAAAGAGATATTGGAAATACCATGAACGATTGCACAAAATATACATCAGTCTATTATAGTTAACCTTCTACACAACATGTGCTTTCTAAAAAAACATGCAGCTTTTACATGCATGTTCCTCTTAAGGAGTGCATATAGCATTTCAAATTACACTTTAATCTAGGCAAAGTATAGAAACTATCATTTACTTTTGCATAAATTCTTGTAAATATAAAATAATGTCAAAATGCTTTATAAGAAATTACTACATGCAGTCATAGTAATAAAAAGTATGCTAGAAAAGGTTAGAACCAGAAAAATAAGAAATAGGTTATGGATTTCAAAATTTTAATAAAATATCACAAATATTACAATGCAGAATGGGATTCTTGAGGAACAGTTAGTGATGTCAGTGGAAGTGCTGATAAACTGCAAGGTTTTGATATAACCCCAGAACTAGGCACTGTTAGGTAGTTAATGTTGGCTAATTACATAAATGAGATCAGAAGGCGTATAGCACTTGGAAGAACTGCAATGTCTGGCATGAATAACATCTGGAAGAGTAAAGAGATCACCCTCACAACCAATGCAGATTAGTTAATGCAATAATTTTTCTGATTGCTATTTATGACTGCAAAACTTGGCAGATAGGAGAAGGGTGGACGCCTTTGAACTATGGTGCTGGAGGCAACTATTACACATACTATGGACTACAAAAATAACAAAGAAGTCTTAGACTGAACCTCACCCAAAATATCACTTGAAGTCAAGATCTCCGAACAGAGGTTGTCATACTTTGATCATGTCATGTAAGCTGACTCACTCGAAAAATCTGTCATGCTGGGAGTGATCAGCGGAAAAATGAGAAGGGGCCATCTTAGTATCTGTTGGCTCGACACCATAAAGAATGACTCTGGGATGACCATGGCACATCTAAATGAGGTGATGCAAGATAGAGAGATATAAAGAATGCTGATCCATAGAGTGGCTGAGGGTTGGACAAAATTGAATGGCTGATGATAGTGAATTACATAAATATTTCACATGTCTGAATAGAAGTACCATTACTGTAAAGTGAATTAAGTCTTCCATATGTGTCAAAAATTAATATGCCCCCTTTTTACATATCCATATTTAAATTGAGAAAATATAAATCTGATCATAGGAAAGAACAAAATCTTGGTTTGCATGCAATCATAACATTTTTAATTCCACTGGCATGAACAGTCCGTAGGTTCCTGCACGACATACAGAATTTCAGTGCCATTTCCAGAGCAGTAAAGTGGCACTGTTAGATTCTGAACTCCATTTTCACGGCAGCATTTGCAAAACCTTAAATGGCTATCAATGTTGACATTAAAAATTGTAGCAGAGGGGCATTTCCCATCACAAGAAGCCACATTTATCTGTTGGAGACAGGAAGGAGAAGGATGTCATTGATAGTTTCAAATTTTATCATTTAATTTATTGAAAGCTTCAGTCATTAATCTATTTTAAAAATTTGGAAATTCATCATCTTGCTGAATCTTTTTGTGTGTTCAGGTCTCCTGCAATAGGCCCATGGTCTATTCACTATCAGCCAGTTTACTTCCTCTGCCAATTTCCTTTTTATGATAGCTTTGCCATTTAATCCTGAAAACAAGGACATTTGTGCACTATTATGAAACACATGCAAATATTACTTTAATATATGTATCAGTGTGCTGCCTAAATGCATCCATGCCTGACATGGAAGGAAAGAAAGCAATATTAATAAATAACAGGACATCTCCAGTTCAAGACAGCAAGCTTAATATTCCTGCATACCCACATTCATGAACATGTTAGATGAGGTAATATGCTCAAACAAATACTTATTCTTGTACATGCATATCCCTCCTTATGGAAAATGGTGTCCCTCTTGGTTCTATTAGACCTCTTAATGGTATCCAGTATCATCTACCATTAAACCATTCAGGGGTATCCAGAAGGATTTGAAGTAGGGAAGATACTATTTAATGGTGATTATGCTCTTACTTGAGTAGGTGGTTCTAGTCTATGGTGCTTGGGGCAGACGAATTTGAACCCATGGAACCCCTAAGCAGAGTCCTCCAAAGCCCAGACTTCTTCCCTTACTATTTAACATTTAGATTAAAGCTATGGAAGATATCACCCACTGATCTGGGTGTAATGTTGATAACATGTTGATGACTCCTGGTTTCTGCATCACCATCCAAGAGATACTGAATAACAGAAAAGAATTGTAGTTGGAAGGGACCTTGGAGGTCTTCCAGTCCAACCCCCTGTTCAGGCAGGAAATCCTATACCATTTCAAACAAATGCTTGTCCACTCTCTTCTTAAAAACTTCCAGTGTTGGAATATTCACAACTTCTGGAAGCAAGTTGTTCCACTGATTAATTGTTCTAACTGTCAGGAAATTTCTCCTTAGTTCTAGGTTGTTTCTCTCTTTGATTAGTTTCCATTCATTGCTTCTTGTCCTGCCTTCAGGTGATTTGGAGAATAGCTTGACTCCCTCTTCTTTGTGGCAATCCCTGAGATATTGGAACACTGCTATCATGTCATCCATAGTCCTTATTTTCATTAAACTAGACATACCCAATTCTAGCAACCGTTCCTTATATGTTTTAGCCTCCAGTCCCCTGATCATCTTTGTTGGTCTTTTCTGCACTCTTTCTAGAGTCTCAACATCTTTTTTACATCATGGGGACCAAAACTGGAGACAGTATTTCAAGTGTGGTCTTATCAAAGCATTATAAAGTGGTATTAACACTTCACATGATCTTGATTCTGTCCCTTTGTTAATGCAGCCTACCACTGTGTTGGCTTTTTTGGCAGCTGCAGCACACTGCTGGCTCATATTTAAGTGATTGCCCATTAGGATTCCAAGATCCCTCTCACAGTTATTACTATTGAGCCACAGTTACTACTATTGAGCCAACCTCACACCCTGATCTCCAATAGGCTGAATTACTGTGACACACATAGTCCTGCCTTTGGAGATAACTTAGAGATTACACTGGTGTAAATACAACAACTTGATTATTGGCAGAACAAGTCCCCTCAATATTAATTCAACTCAATTCTTACTTGGGTTATCAGTAGGCTTTAGTATCCAAATTAAAGAACTTGTCATTGCCTAATTAGGAGAGGCAATTCTATTTTGCACTAGTCATCTGGTTTGAGATGTCTCCAAACGGATGAAGACAGCATTTAAATAATGTTAGGGTAAAAGCAATTAAACTGCAAATTCTTCGTATGAGTAGGAGGATATTACTAGGAAAAGAGGTTTTCCAGATGTCAAAATAGTAACAGGACTTGCATGTATGTTTACCACACTAATTACAAGCATGCTTTAGCAGTTGATATGCTCTAAGACTGAGAGAAAGTGACTAGAGACAATGGTAAACTAAATTTCATTTTTGATGTGTACCGTTGTGCCCACAGTAAAAAAATGACAATAAAGGTTATCTTATCTTATCTTATCTTATCTTATCTTATCTTATCTTATCTTATCTTGTCTTGTCTTGTCTTGTCTTGTCTTGTCTTGTCTTGTCTTGTCTTATCTAAACCACTTCTGAAAAACCTTGCCAACAAAACTGCAGGAACTTGTTCAGGCAGTCTCCAAGACTCAAACAGGATTGAATGGAAGAAAAAAAAAGTGCTCCGATATATGAAGTATTTCCCAAATTAGGCATTTATACTTACAGGACTTTGGCTTATGCAGTCTTCTTTTCTTACAGTAGTTCTAACAATTATTTTCTGGCAAATCCTTTCCTCTCTTTTACCTGATAAAGCATAAAATATGAAGATAATAATCAAGACATTTTAATTACATCTTTAGTTAGAGCTCTTTTGCTTTGTGTCATTATCTGAACATGTACTGAGGTGTCTAATCCTCCACCCATAATCAGTTTGTGAAGCTTTGTTTTGTTTGTAATAGGAGAATATCTCATAGCTGTTTATGCACATCCATTTATACTTCAAGTTATTTTCCTATTCCCTTCCTAAACACCTAGACATGAAGGCTGTACAGCAACTGGATTTAAAATAGGTTGAACAAGCATATTCAATAAGTGTTAAGAAGGTTATAGACAAATCAAAATGTGTATAAAAGTTAAGAGTATGGAGTGCTTAGTATTGGCAGTTCTATCACTATCTCATTTATCTGGTTCCCTTGGGCAGCTAATTTAGAATTTCTATCAGATCTCTGAATGAACTGGAGAATTTCCAAGAGATGCAGCAAAGATGCAGTCTTTTTGTGTGACACATCACACATGGTCATCAAAAAAGCCTACTCTTAAGTAATAGCATAGCCAATGAGAAAAAAGTATTTGCAGAAAATACTCTGCAATCTGAATTAGACTGCATCCAAAATTATAGCAAGCAGAATGCTTTCCAGTTTCATTGCACAGACAACATAACACAACATTAAAACTTGCCTATTATCCCTAATTTCCTATTTCTTCAATTCAATTTCAATTCAGCTGTAATATTATTACAAGTATAATTAATAGTCTCCTTCACTGTTATAATTCATCACTCAGGGTCCTTTTTGTAAAATAACCCCATCATACTGTAGAAAATTAAGAAGGGCATTCTGATTTCCAAGCTCCATTTCTAGAAGATAGATTGGCTTATTTGATGCAGCTTTTAGACTGTTCTGCTATTACTAATATCTTCTTTGGGTAGATTTCCCTGATGTATTATAATGTATGTATTCTATCAATATTGGTTAAGATTTGCTTCTAAATGTTATATTATTTTATGAATTGATTGTAAGCTACTTTGAACATTGGAGAACAATTCAATCAATAGAGGGAAAACAACAGCAGAAATTTAACATCCCCATAAAATGGGTATTGCGCACATCTACTAGAAATATATTTTTGCTCCTTTTCTGGCTATGTTTAATGCTTGTATTATATCCACAGAAATGTTTACAAAATCAGATTCATAAAGCTTATCTTTAGGTAGCACTAGTTTTACCATGGAATAATATATATACATATATTGTTATAATTATAGAGTCAATCAACACTTCTCTGGATCACTATCTACGTATATCAACATTTTTAAATAAAATAAAATAAAATACATTTATTAAAAATAGTAATACCTGGTTCACAATTAATACTATCAGTAGAGACTACAGGGCTAATGGCAAAGGGTAATACACCCCGTCCAGAACCTGGCAGAATTATTGGGAATATAAGTTTCTTGTAATACGCAAAAACATTTTTACATAAATAGCATTACATTAATTCTTACACTGCCAACTGCTAATGTTTTTTATGGAAGCTGTTCTTTTTTATAAAAAGAAATAAGTATTCTTATTTTTCTAAATTAATTATTTCCCTGTGTTTTAATATCCATGTGGATAATAAGATCATTATATTTACATGTAAAAAAAGAAACCTGGAACATGATTTGGCAAGGTAAGAATTAAATATATGAACTCACTCAGCATGCATATAATCATTCACCTTTTCAAATAAAGATTATTCATTACCATTAAAACCCAATTTTAAGCTGTACTTGTTGCTCACTTATACTCCTTAACTGTTAAAAGTACATGCTTTTAGTTTGTTCTAAAAAAAACTCTATTAGTATATAAAACAGCATTTAATGTTGTCTTTTTTAAAGCTAGTTCAGCAAACAGTTCTGAAGATAACAATTAAAGCCTAAATATTTGGTTAAGGTAAAAATTGTTTTAGAAAACAGTAAAGAAAAATTATTCTACCAATCAAGGGCTGGTTTTTACATGATTTACTTCATTTATATAAAATATTGATGGGGAGAGAGATAGTTATGGTCTTCATGAGATGTTATTAACCTTCAAATATCAATTTAGTGACATAATTACCAATATTTTCCTTGTCATTGTACTACTCACAATAGCAACTTTTTTTAGGTAAAGGAATTTCTAGATTTAAGACATGATGTGAAGAAAGAGATACTTTCAAATTATTGTGTGTGTGTGTGTGTGTGTGTGTGTGTGTGTAGCAGGTTCCAGAATATTCTGGAAAAATTGGAGAGACATACAGTGTTTGCAGATTTCTTCTTCTCCCTGACACTATACCACTGGGCAGTACCATTTAATGACAATACAGAGTGCAAGAGCACATTTAGCAAAATATGAAAGATGATAAAGGAATTATTTGTGGTAAGATGTTTCCTTGATGAGCTATCTTTTTCCACAAGTGTTCCATCAGAGCCAGTGTGGTACAGTGGTTAAAGTGTTAGATTGGCACCCAGGAAACCAGGTTCTTGTCGTTTCTCGTACACCGGGTAAATTTCTGTCCGATCTGTGTCACAGGGGTATTGTATGAAAATGGAGAGAGGAGGTGTTATACACACTGCCATCAACTTCTAAACAGAAGGCAGGAGAGCTAAGAAATAACTGTATTATTTTATGGGCATCTATTGTAAAGAAATACTAGAGAAAAATTCACTACTTGTAAAAGCAGTACTACGGTAGCAGAGAGTTTCTTTTTACTAAATCTGTCACGTGAAAGCTAAGCTCATCCTCTGTTGGGGATGATTCAATTTTAATTTACACTGACCATGGATTCAATGACTTAGATAGCCCCATAAGGCCTCTTTCAACATTAGAATTGAAAGTGTTTGCTAACAGACAGTGTTTGGATAGAATTAGAGGAAGGATCCAAAGATAAGAGCTCTTTTTTCCAGCAAGAGTTTATTTTGTTCTTTTCCTCCACACAATCCCTTAGAATGACTCCTGATCTTGACATTAAATCAATGTTTCTTCACCTTAGCAACTCTAAGATACGGTATATGGATGTTGGATAAGTTCTGTAGTATGTGGATATGAATGTATGGAAATCAGAGTCTCTTTGTACAGCCTTTTTGAATCCCAGAGACATACAAAGAGAGCTACATAATAGAGACTTCTCAGCATGTTTTAAAAAGTACTAGAGACAGGTATTCTAGAAGATACTAGATACACACACCACTGATTGACAAGATATCACCCTGATTTGTTGAGCTGCAACATGAAGGATTTCCCAAAGAATAAAAGTAAAAGATATAAAGGAGACTTGTTTGAGAAAAACATTTTTTGAAGTGCTAGCAGTTATCAAAATGCAGCTGTCTTTTTCTTTGTTTATGCTTCTTATTCAGGTGTATTTGATCCTGGTTTCTTTATTGAATTTTCAAGTAAGGCTAGGAGAAGGTAACTCTTTTGCTGGCAATATTGTATTATGAACAAAAAAAACTCATTATAGAACATGTTTCTTCCAATTCAAGTAGAAAATTCCAGCTTTAGCAGGAATCCAAAGAACCATCCTGGGTTGGATGGATTTTTACTATCTCTAATAAAATATCCAAATTCCACCATTGTGAAAAGTAATCATGCTTACATTTAAATTCTCATTTAAACTGAGGCTTTGAGAAGTAAGATTATCAGAAAATAATCCTTGATATATTTTTTGAATCAAATATTTATCACTATCCTTTTGAGTTTAATATTTATCACTATTTGAAAATTCATGACCTTTTAGAGCTGGCCAATATGTTTTACAGTACAATTACTGAAATTCCAGTATTCAAAAAAATAATACATTTTCACATTTAATGTTTTTATCTAATGTCTCAAAAGTACAATTATTCCTTTTTATATAAGTGTTTTATATAATTTTCTCATGTAATCTTCTTATGATTGTACTTAACGTATTTCCATAGAACATAGGTCAGTAACCACTATCATCTGGTGGGGGTTTTTTTTGCATTGACCAACCTAAATAAAATATTCATATTTTCCCATTTTCTTATAATCATATGTGGATTAACAAACTAAAGAAAAATCCTATTAATAAATTGGATAACTTTTGTTTTCTAAAGATGTTCAAAACAGTTTTTAGCTATATCTATATTATTTTGAGGAAACTGGTTATATACCAGAAAGAAAAGGTTAAAACAAAAATTTAAATTTTAATATCACCATGTTAGCAGCCATATAAAGCCAGGCTTGACAATTACTTTTGTTAAGGACTGGACACATATGACATGATTCAGAGACAGCATGCTATTTTGTTTTCATATGTCTCCTTAAATAGGTTAAGAATGCACAGAGCTGTCCAAACCCAAAGCCATACCAACATGGAACTAGCACACAATATAGCTGTCTTCACTTACAGGTCTTGCAGCAGCCATTGTGATAGGTCTGCACAGAGCCTCCATTCTAGGAAAATTAAAAAGGAATATTTCAAAAAAGACTGTGCTCAAAGAAACATTTTGAGGTATACTGATATACTAAAAATTAGTTATGCAGCCAAAAATCCTGGAGAAAAAGTGAAAAGTAGTGGCTGCCACTATACATAACAACCTACTTTGAAGCCTCTCAAATACAGGTAGTCTTCAATTTACAACAGTTCATTTAGTGGCCGTTCAAAGTTACAGCGGCACGGAAAAAAGTGACATGACCGTTTTTCACAGTTATAACTTTCCAGCATCCCCATGATAATGTGATCAAATTCAGATACTTGGCAACTGGTTCATATTTATGACCTTTGCTGTGTCCCAAGGTCATGTGATCACCTTTTGCGACCTTCTGACGAGCAAAGTCAATGGGGAAGCCAGATTCACTTAACAACCAGGTTACTAATTTATCAACTGCAGTGATTCACTTAACAACTGTGGCAAGAAAGGTCGTAAAATGGGGCAAAATTCACTTAAATTTCTCACTTAACAACAGAAATTTTGGGCTCAATTGTGATCGTAAGAGGACTGCCTGTATTGCCTCCATACATTTATTTAGAACTCATTAAAACTATGTAACATAGGATTGAGTTGATTCTTCTCCACTATACCTTTACTTTTGAAGAATTGGCAGCATTTTTCATTAAATCAAAACAATACAAAAACTGAATCAATTGATTACAAAATAATTTTGGATCAGTTTTTATATTAAAATTTCATTATTTTTTATTTGTGGATGAGATTTGCATTATAATTACATTCCAACTAAATGTTTAATTAATGCAACAGCATTATTTGCACTATACAAGGTGTGTGTCATGTACGTGTTTCACTTTGAGAGCGGGCAACTAAATTTCATTTTTGATGTGTGCCGTTGTGCCCACAGTAAAAAAAAATGACAATAAAGGTTATCTTATCTTATACAAATGACTGACCTAGCATAATCTGAAAGCAACTCAGCAAATGCAAGACTGAATTAAGGTAAAGTACATAGTATTCTGATTAATTGCAAGATATATACATTTGCTAGATGATAGTTTACAGAGTTGGTAGTTTAAATGAGTGCAAACTTCTAAACAACAATTTCATGGGCAAACCTAGTTTTCTCTAATAATCTGCATTCAGGAGTACTATTTAGCTACCATATCTAAGGTTGCAGTCATATTTCTCTTATGAATCTGATCAATTGCATTTGTTTTTAAGGACAGGGACTGCAACCCTTTTGCTGATTCAGAGTAAATTCCAATGAATTTTATGAGATCTACATCTTTATATATCTATAGCATAACATTGTGAGACACAAATTCAACAATATATTTTCTATAAATGTCAGACAATATGTAGGCGTTTGGAGAAATATATGTGAGAAATACTGTATATGTCAGAATCAAAGACTAGACAGTATATTGCTAAAATGATTATGAATAAGGGAAGGCAGAATCAAGTTTAATCCCTGAAACTCTCATATATATCCCTTTGGAGGTAATATGGGCTAATGGGAAAGAATACTAGATTTCAAAGTATTATCTGTATGCAGGTATAATTTGGAGGAAAAAATTAAGACAGTAAAAGCAGTTTTATATATATTTATAATATTAAACACACCTTGATATTAAGTTCCCAATAAATTAAACATGTGAATAAGGAATATTTTTATGTATAAAGTACAAACCTTTACACATTCAGTCTCATTAAAGGGTGGGCAAAACACACTGGAGCCAAGTACCACTGTCTCCGCACCAATCTTTGCACATTCATATTTAGTGCAGTTTGAGTCCCATGTGCTTCCTTCCTATTAAAAAAAGAGATGGAGTGGGGAAAAGGAAGGAAAGGGGAAACTAGCTATAATATAGCAAAAATAATGATTGAGTCATATGTTAAGACAACTTTCCAAACCTTAATGGCCTCAGGTATGACCATAGCTGGGTAGTACTGTAATTTTAGTTTAATGAATAATAAAATCTGTTGAACAGTCATTGTTTTCTGAGAACATCATAACAATGGCTTAATGCAGTAATAGGAGCCAGTTTGGTGTAGTGACTAAGGTATCAGTCTAGAAACCAGGAAACCTTGAGTTCAATCCTGCCTTAGGCTCAAAGCCAGCTGGGTGACTTTGGGCCGATCACTTTCTCTCCATCCTAGAAAGGAGGCAATGGCAAACCACTTCTAAAAATCCTTGCCAAGAAAACTGCAGGGACTTGCTAGCAAGTAACCAAGCATCAAGCAAGATTGAACAGAAGAAAAAAAGAAGTAATATGATAAACTATTTTTCACAGGAAGCATTTACAAGAAGGGCAACTTCAGCAGAAAACAACTGTTCTTTATTGCTTAACACCAGAAATAGAACTCACATGTAATTTAGTTTGCTGAGCTAAATAGAAAATCTGATTGAGTATGGTGTCCATACAAATGCAGGTAACTTTGGTTAAATGTCTGCTCACTTAAACAGAATTCATTTATTAATGTCAAGCTAACACCAATATTCCTGGTGTCATTATACAGTTAGCTTATTTAGTTAATCATATTCAGTGTTTAATATGATCTCCAATCAAGAAAAGTTTAAATCAAAAGTTATCATATGAAAAAATTGTAGAATTTAGTACTTGACTTAATTAGAATCCTTATTCATTATTGTTATCTGAACCACTTTTCAACCCACTTACTTCATAAATCTCAAGAGTTCCATTGTCAGTATAAAAAGGACATGAGACATTTATGCAGGAACCACAACAAGAATGTTGACCATCAGATGGGTTGTGTACTTGATGCTGTTAAAAAGAAAGAATGCCCATATGGATTGTATCAAAATAAGTATAAGGCAATTAAATGCTAAAACTATATTTAGCTGCTATATGCAGTATGTATCAGTATGTTGACAATATGATTTTCTTTGGCAACTATACCTATATCTTTGCTGTTGATGAGATATAAGCTTAGATTTGACAATGCCAATCAAGAGTTAGTTTTAATAGCATTTTTTTCTTTAAAGCAATATATGTAACCGTCTTATACTAAATAAAAAGCATTAATCTACATTGCTCAGCATTGTACATAGCAGGTGTACACAATCTAGTTTCATCTCGGTGCTTGAATATGTTGGGAATGTTATTCTTAAAAATGGAAGCAACAGAACAAGGGCAGAAATTACATGCAATTATAGCTATATTTTAAACAAATACAGTTAAGTACATTCAACATTATTTAATAAGACTCTCTTTCTATCCTATTAAATATAAAAAATTGTTTCCCTCTACAATATGCAGGTTTGCATCCAATTATTAGTGAAGAGATAACATAATGAGGATTACCAAGCTTTTTTTAAAGAAAAAAATTATATGTAATGTGAGAGAGTGATTTTTTTTAAAAAAATGAAAAAGTTGTGCTATAAAATTATAAAAAGGTATAGTTTGAATTAAACATTGCCTGACAAATTAACTTTATGTTCTTGGAGAGAAAATGGAAGTCAACTTTCAATTTCTATCTGCAAATTCCTTTCACTGTCCCAGGGCAAAGATAAGGCAGAATATTATGAAACAAGTTCCACAGCTTTGTAAGATGTTCCCTTGACTAGAGTAGGTCAGATATGTGTTCACACTAGGACTATGTTTTGCAAAATGCCTGTGAATATAGTAAGTTGAGTCTTGTGGAACCTATTTTATTTCAGTCTTCAGTGAAAAAGTAGGATATTTTTTTCTATGCATGCACAGTCCCAAAATACCACAAAAAGAGATATGGGGCCACTTTAAAAGTTCAGACAGTGAATCCAAAGTGTGCAGTTTTACCCACCACACAAAAGCCAAAATCATAATTATAAAAGAAGACTAGGAAAATATGGCCTATAGAAGGACCATGGATTGAGAAGCTCTGTGACTATAACATAAAAGAAATAAATTGCCTGTTTCTTCTCTGGAAAAATAACAGGATCACTGCATAGATAGGCACATAATTCGTACATTTCACCAGCATCTGTTTTAAAATATCTATTGGTTATAAATTAATTACAAATTTCTCCATTCTTGGGAAATAGATTTCACTTTAGTCACTGACTTTGGATGCAAAACTGGTTTTGATGTGGAGAGATTCCACTGGAATAAGGGAACCATTTAATCCAACTCCTTATTTTAAAATTCCCTAAATAATAATTACTTTTTTTCTGAACACAGTTTAAGATTGCTCATCATTTTAAATAGATTTTAAATGATGTTATATCAATTATGTCCAGAAATGACTTTGTCTGCATATTTTTACTTACTGCTTCACATTTTTGGGAACAATTAACTACTGCCAGATTCATCATGTGAAATCCTGTGTTAGGGTCCCTTTCTTGTGAACACTTTGCCGTATAACAAAGTTCTCCATCCAAATGTTGAATCAATGTCTGACCTGGGTTCAGAACAGTGACTTCTTGGAATATACAGACATTTCTTTTTTCTAGGGAGGGAGGGAGAGAGGGCAGGAGGGAGGGAGGGAGGGAGGGAGGAAGGAAGGAAACAGAATATGCAAAACAAGAGTACTATTTAGTATCAATTTTATTTTTTTCACACAATAAGAAACATTTGGTGGTCAACTATGATTTATTTGCAAATTTCAATGGCTGATGCTTAGAGCTTAGCATTAGTGTGACCTTGGCTACTATTATTGTATTATTTGCATTTTTTTCTTTTCATTGCATACTGCCCATATATTTTAGGATAAATGGGAAATTAATAATATTTAATATATAGCCTAGGTCTTAATGGAATATAAATAACATAATATATTTAGCAATCTATATATTATCATTCCCTTAATAAATTAAACACTACTAAAGAACAGGAAGCAGAATGCTAGTTCATGTGAATATTTCTGTTCTAACAGAATCTCTCCCTTTTTTATTTTAAACTAGAAAATTACTGAAAATTGTAAGCACATAAAGTGTATAAGGCTTGTCTTAAGAACTATGGTACTGAAAACTAAATATTAAAAAAAGTTATTGAAAAGAATGTTCATAGGCATTCATACATACCACAAATGTATTGTGGACATCCACATGTAGTAGAAGTATTAGCACTTATTTTCCAAACTTCATCCTATGAAATATTTCAATGATACATTTGTTCAATTGCACACATACATGTACTTTCATTTATAAGAAAGTGAATAACTATATGAAAATTAGCAAATGCATTTTAGCAGCAAAATATTGTTGCACATTTGAATGCACGTTTGGAGGAACCATTAGGCCATATGGTCATATTAAGAGCACTAGGTCCATCTCCCTATTATTGTTATAATTGTTAGTTTTTTTCTACAAAACCCAATGATATTCACCAGAAATGAGAAAGTCAAATGGGAGCTGCTGTTGCTTTTCAATCTTGTTACAGCTGCATATTCAGAGAAGGCAACTAAACATGTGTAACTGCAGGGAGTCCACAAAATGTAGTAAAAAAAAATGATGGCAATCATGAGTGTGTAATCAAATATCTGACTATTTTTATGTGTGTCACAAATCTGTAGCTATTTAAAAGGCCTATTGGTTGATTGATCAATACTGTGAATGTTTTTTGTAGGTGCTGGGTAGCCCCAAGACATTCTATTATATGCAGCGGAAAGACAGATTGTGTCTACATACTAAATATTGAGCAATATGGGTAGTAGAATGACTTAGTACAATAATTCTTTATAAATGTAACAAATAATGTTGCCATTTTAAGATAGCCTCAACATTTATTGTCTAATAATAGGTTTAGATTTGTCCAACAAGCACAATAGCTAACAACATAATTACAGCTTGTAAAAACTACAGCTAATATTTATCAAGTCATCTCTCCATTGTTTTTCATATTGGTATTAACATGACTAATAGCCAATCTGCTGTAATAGTTACGGTGTTGGACTAAAATGAAGAAATTGGCTTTAGTCTTGCCTTAGATACAAAGCCAATGAGGTAATTTTGGGTCAATTACTCTCAGCACTAGGAAGAAAACAAAGACAAGCCATTTCTGAAAATATTGACAAGAAAACTGCATGAATTTATCTAGTAATTGCCAAAAGTCAAAAGACTGAATTGAAAGCCTCCCCCCCCCAAAAAAAATAACTTGAATAACATAGGTACAAAGAAGTTTCTATCATAAATTGCTATGCTCCTGATATAAAAGGAGAATATAATAGACAAACATTGCATTACTATAAATGAATTAGTAAGAGTATTCTATAGAATAATATGCCATACACTATCATCTATCTATCTATCTATCTATCTATCTATCTATCTATCTATCTATCTATCTATCTATCTAATCTATTGTCTATGTATGTATTTGCCATTATCCAATCTGGCACTTATTTCGGTTGCTTTCTTTATAGACATTCTCATTTTAACACTGCTTTGACATGGGTTGGTTACAGAATGATTTCTTAAAGCTTATTTTACAAGTGTCAGTGTTTACCAAAATTCTGCTAAACATAATTCTATATTATTAGTTCTGATTTTATCAGAATTCATTGCACAGTATATCTCAGTTGTGTCAAGATATTTTTGTTTCATACACTGACACAATTTTATTTATTTTACATGATTAGCAAACTTATGATTGCTGTCATTGTAGAACAGGATAGCATAGAAACATTTAAAATGAAAGAAAAATAAGAATTTCAAAACTATTATAAAATTAAACATTTCTTACCAATTTACAGCTTGGTACAGTACTGTTCTCACAATCACATTCTGAAGAAAATAAGACAGAAGGATTCACTATGACCACATCCATGGGAATAAAAGTTGTATTTCATTAATTTATATAATTGGGGAAAAAGCAAATTATAGATACCACAATTCCAGTCTGGGCAACACTGTCCAGGTACTGTTTTTTTAATCAGTTTCATATCAGTAGAGCAATTCAGAAGAGGTGAAGGACATAGATTCTCTTCACATACTAGAGAAATAGAAATTATGTCTTTAAAAGATTATTGCCACAAAATATCACTAGAAAGAAAGAAACATATAAAACATTTCTCTTTTACATGATTATTTCTACTATTCTACTATTTCTGTAATATTATTATTTCTACCTGCCACCTTAAATTAATGGTTTAGAAATGAATAATTATTTTAGGTTCAAGTAATCAATAATAATTTTATGGTTTCAATAGTAGAACACATTTCATATCACAAACTATTTTAGATAAAGAGACAATCTTACTCATGATCTGATGGTGCTCTCAAATCTGTTAACTATAAAGTATAGAAAACAGTTGCTTGTAAAACAAAGCCCAAAGCATCACTCCAAGTGAATACATGTGAATACATAAGTCTTCATCAGTTTTTTGGTATCAGATATTTTCCATTGAATGGCTAAAGTAGACACCAGGTAAAATCTAGATATCAGCAATAAATTTAAAAAATCTAAAGTGAAACTGTACCTATGTACAGCTGAATGTTGTTTTTGTTCTTTCTGCCACTGGTAACCCTTGAGATAAAGAACCGGTACATGCTTAGATTTTGAATAGCTGTACATAGCTAAATACATTTTTGCCTGATTATTTTCCTGAATTTTTAGAATAGCAGTAAGATAATAATTGACTCTACCTCTATGGAAGCTGCATTATAACAATACTGTGTTTATTACAAGCATAAGTATAATTTTATGACTGAATACAAAGAAAAATCTCAATAAAACAAGTAGTAATCATTCCAAGATATGTAATCCAAAACAAAACTTACCACAGTGATAATGAGGACAACAGTACTGTGCAGTACTAAGATCTACTGCAAGAAGTTCTTCTTCATTGCATTCTGGAACAGGTTCAATGCAAGATTCACAAACTTCAAGAGAAACATAAACACCATATAATATATATATATTGTAATATATAAAAATAAATATCCACACAAACACACACATCCATATATACATTAGTTATGGGCCAGTTTTACAGTATATATAGATTAATATGCTGGCATATTCAAGAGAAATTGTAACCATGTTTTGAATCAGTGAATATTAATAGCTTGCAAAAATACAAGAGTGAAATGAATGAATGAATGAATGAATGAATGAATGAATGAATGAATGAATGAATGAATGAATGAATAGCCAAAATAAGTATGTATGCCAAGCTATGCAAAACTTTATAGGAAAATAATGTCATATTTTGCACTGCAAATATGATGGCACCATAATATGTCAATAGGAGGCACAGGGAATACATGATATATGTAGATCTCATTCAGGCTTGAAAGCTAAGAAGGTTGAGGCCAGTTATTGCTTGATGTGAAAAATAAAGGAATAACAAAAAGATAGAAAAATAAAGGATGCATGGATGGATGGATAGATGGATGGAATGAGAAACTATTTTTGTAGTTCATAAGTATGTTGCAAAAGAAGCAAGCACTAAACTCAATTTAAACGGGAATATATTCTTTCCACATTTCACAATAGTTAGCTTATGGTCAAATTATGTTAAATATATATGTACAGTAGGTATGTAAGTAGGTATGTATGCATGTATGTATGTATGTATGCATGTATGTATGTATTTTACTTATATTCCACTCAAGCAATGCACATTGGTGTTTAGATCACAAGAATATCCATAGCAGTTAAATTACATTATACCAACCAATACCAATGAAAGTTACAATACAAGAAGAAATTATAATAATGAAAAATAAAGCTTATCAAAGCCAAATAACATAATATTAACAATTTAATATATTTAAGTAATTCATAATAAAATCAATTATTAATGTTACATAGAATAGTTCATTTTAATTCTACATATAATATTAAGCATATAATGAGTCTTTGTAGGTTTTTCTCCCCTTTCTTTATTAAATGTCATTGTGAAGGAAGGAGAACAGTACATATTGAGACCATGGTATTAACAATTAACTCCTATCTCCTTCTTTGCTGCAATCACAAACAAGATATGCATAGCTACTATGCAATAAGAAAAGTTCTCAGCACCCAAATTCTTCCATTAAAACGGGTGGTTTTGTAACTAAATTTAAAAAGTCAATGCTAAATCCATACATACAGTATCTTAGATATTTAAATCCGCAATTTACCCAAGATTTTTAAAATAAGAAATGTTACTTACCACACAAATAGGATAAACAGCAAGTATCATCCAATTTTACTTCCACAATAAACTGATCTTCTCGGCATTCTGGACGAGTAACATTGGGACATGCTGACATATCACATTCTGAATTAAAAAAAAACAAAGCAAAACAAAGCAGGTTATCTAGTAAAATACAACCAATGACTTGCTGTTTTAGAAGTTATACGCCTCTAAATGAATAATCTTTTCTCAGTTTCATTATCCATCCTATCACTTACCACACTGATATTGAGGACAGCAGGAGACAGGAGTATATCTAACTGTCAGCTTCTCAGTACTTCTGCATACTGGGATAATAGGGCTGCATAGAGTCATGTTGCATTCTAAAACAAAAAATAGAGTCCTGAATCAAATCAATATATCTCTACCTAACCTTTTCATGGGAAGATGATAAGGATAACATTTATTGTCTGTTCCAGCAGTTCTGATTAATAAACAAGATAATGTGAATATGGACTAACTGCTCTTTTTCCAAAGAAAGCATTTTAAGATTACTGATACTTAATGTTATATTAAATATAGAGAGTATATTAAAAGGAAAAAACAACTTGTGGTAACATAAAAATTTGTTTCTAAAGCTATTTGGCTTCTTATATTAATGTACCATTATCCTAATGTATGCATTAAACTAAAAGCAGAGAAACTTGAAATTACATAGAGAATTATTCAAGTCACTGGGTTTAGCTCAGCACACAATTGGATTACCATTTGGGTATCTCTGGTATCCTACCTAGTGTTGCTGTTTTTTTTAGTTCTAAGAAATAATTGAGAATGTTTGCAAAACCTCCTTTTCAACTCCCAAAGTGGTTTTGGAATGCACATGTCTTAATTGACCTTCTAATTGAACATAATTAAAGATGTCTATAAGCCTGAATGCCATCTCCCACTTCATGAGAAATGAACAACTGGATATTTCTTCCACAATTTAGAAGAGGAAGATTTTTCATGAGCTGTGCCCATATTAGATCACAGAAATGAAATATGGTGAATAGATTTTTAAAAGAACTTAAATGTTGACATTTACAATGATAGATTATTTTTTTCACTATACATTAGCTATGAGCCAGTTTGGTCTAGTGATTAAGGCACCAGGCTAGAAAATGGGAGACTGTAGATTCAAGTACCGCTTTAGCCATTAAAACCAGTTGGGTGACTTTGGATCAACCATTCTCTCTCAGCCCAACCCACTTCACAAAGTTGTTGTGGGGAAAATAGAAGGAGGGTTTGTTGATATGTTTGCCTCCCTGAGTTATTTATAAAAATAATAAAGGCAGGATATAAATAAATAAATAATTGTGCCAAATATTTTTTATTTCTTTATACTACACACAGATTCTTTCCTATCAACTGAATATCATGCCTGTCTTAAATATTACATACCACAGATATTTTTTGGACAGCAAGTTTGTTCTTCAGTTACACTGACAATCACTTCAGCCTCTCTGTCACACATTGGAGATGGCTGCTTATCACATTCAGGCTCTGTATCAATAATGCTCCCATTCTCCATGCACTTATATATGCAGCATCCTTTATTGGAGCCAATCCAAACCTCCCCAACAGAGTGAGGATGCCCTCCGTTATCTGTACAGACTATTAAAAAAAAGTAAAAAACATTTTTTTAATGACATCCCAAAAAATACCCTGTTTACATTTTGATATAAACTATATCTGTCGCTAGCATCTGGAAGTTAAATAACCTCTGATGTCTGTAAGAAACTGGAGCAAAATAAATGCTGAGACTCCCAATGAGGGAAAGGAAATATTACAAGAATTTGTTACTTACGTAGGTGTATATTGCACCTACGACATTTTCACTTTTGCAAAACTATAATTAATGCCTCTTGCTATGTAGTTTTGACCTCAGGCTCATATGACTGCAATTATGCTATACAGATCCAGAATGATTATCTAAATTTACTCTGTTTATGATATTTGAATTATTAGAACATTAAAATACAGGCCTGGCTTAATTCAATACTGCAAGTGGTAAAAACTTTTATTGTCAATAAAATAATCATATTGGTCTCCTTTGTTTTACTTTATTTGTTTTACCTTGAGCCTCAGATATTATAAATCTATCACTTCAAAATTAACATATTCTGAAGGATTTTTATGAGCAAACTGGCACCTCATAATGCTCATAAAGCTCTTCCAAATTCCAAAATAGTTGGAAGTTCCAAAATAATTGAAGGTAAATGAGATTTAAATGAATTTAGTGGGATTTATGAAGTTATGATTATTTACAGTACAAATTCTGTAAAAAAATATCAGCTTCCTAGCTGTACCAATTTTGGAATATAAATTCTGGAGCTACATTGGACTGTTTATTGATTTTATATTATTTGTAAAAAGAGAAGATAAAAATAAAAAGCATACCTCTGACCCACCAGAAAGCAAGAATACTTGAATCTAATAGGAAAAATATGCCAGCATATTAATAAGTTTACTCACCACATTTTTCTTCTGGAATGCAAAGGTCAGAGTCTGTTCTATGAAGAATGGTCCCCTTTTTACAAACACAATCTTCTCTTAAATAGGAACATGATGATTTTTCATAAAACCATTTATTTAGGCATGTTTTAGCATCACAGGGTTGCACACAAGGTTGATATTCCTTCCCATAAGGACAAGCAAGCCCTACATGTGGAGGAAGATAAATATTACTGAGATTTTTTTAACATTCATTGGAAAAGAGAAGAAAGAAGGTGGCAAGAGGAAACATTTCTCATGAATTTATCTAAATAACCAGTTTTAGCTACATGTTTCAGTTTGTACAATTTGTAAATTGGCTTCCTTGTCATCAAAACATAAAAAAACAAAGAATACAACTAATAGATCCTAAATTTAGAAAACAGTTTTGCATGATTAGAAATATAGGCCCACTTCCATCAAAATCCTTGTCTGAATATAATTTTAATTGATCCTTGTTCAAAGTGGTCAGCATATAGTTTTTTCTCTTGCATATTTAGCGTTACATATTGAAGTGATGGAGAAGAAATAGTAACTCATAGATCTGATTATAACTAATTAGTTTTTCAATTTTTCTTCAAAGATTAATTTGTAGTCTGTAGATCCCATGATTTGTCATACAATTGTGAAATTTCAAAAGTGCCTCGATGTCAATTCTAGATTATTGCTAGCATACGTTCTTGAAATAAAGGTTTTTTTAAGAAAAATATTGTAACTAAAAAACTAGTTTTTCTGATCTTAAAAGAAGTAATTTTATGTACATATATTTCTAAGTACATTATTTTGCAGTTTTCTACTTTACTTTTTGTCGTGGATGCCAAGAAATGTAAACAGAGTGTCCTTCTTCCAGTCCCCTCCCCATATGTCCTCCTTTTTAATTGTCAATGTCTTCCTTTGCCTGTTCATATATTTGGTAATCCTACATAAAAAGCTGGAGAAGGGCCTACTGCTGGGAAAGATTGAGGGCAATAGAAGAAGGGGACGACAGAGAATGAGGTGGCTGGATGGAGTCACTGAAGCAGTAGCCGTGAACTTAAATGGACTCCAGAAGATGGTAGAGGACAGGATGACCTGGAGGAACATTGTCCATGGGGTCGCGATGGGTCGGACACGACTTCGCAATTAACAACAACATAAAAAGCATTTTACAACAGTGTACATACCTATTCTAAATCTGGGAAGTAGAGTGATGAAAACAATCTATGAATTCATCATGTACATAGATAGTATGAGTCATTCAATTATTTACAGTTTATCATAACATACAGGTAATCCTAAACTTACAATCAGTTGCTTCTCCCCCCCCACCTCCCGTGATCACACCATTCCATTTTGAGCACTTAGCAACTGGCCCAATTTTGCATCCATTTTCAGTATTCTGAAGACATGTGACCATAATTTTTATGTGTATGTATGTATGTATGTATGTATATATATATATATATATTGCAGGAAACCAATGTTTATTTCCATTTACAGAAAAATATGCCCATTGCAGACATTAGATTTTCTTTAAAACTTCTGCAAAAAAGGTTGTAAAATCAGGCACAGTCATGCAAGTGACCTGCTTAATGACTGGCATAAGTTATTATCATAATTCCAGGCTCAAATATGATCATAAATTGAGGACTACCTGTATTAGCATTTAGCCAATGACCATCAATATTAATCTACAGTATCTAGAATATTATTGAGTGGAGTGCTAAGGAAAATATAATTTTGAGTCATTCCTTTCTAAATGTAACCTTCTGTGTATCATCAATGTCTAGCAAACTAAAAACTCAAAATAAAAGCCAAGTAAAAATCAAGTGATCAGGAATGATTCTATTAAACTTACAACAGTAATCTGGTGTCCTCCACTTAATGCAGATATTATGCTTGTTGCATAGTGCTACATATGCAGAAAGTGCATCACATTCATAATTCTCAAAATAGGTATCGTTAACCCACATTTTTTCACAAAAATCTTGTGGTGAGACCTAGATCAAATATATTTGATAAATCAATAATCTGGATAAATTGGAGAAAAACAATCATGAGTTTCACATTAACAACTTTTGTACAACCAAAACCACAATCACTTGTGTAATATAGCTGTTTAATCAAAGTTGCTGAAATATTAATATAATTCCTATATCTAAAAAAAATCATTCTCCAAATGATTTTTGTTTTTTCATTCATTTTTCCCCATTTTGAAAGTCATATTTATTTAAGGCCCAGTGATCCATTTTTGCATATGGAAACTGGTTTATTGGTAGAAAAAAGGAAGTTTAATTCCACTTCCTTTGTACAGCTCCTTCTCTGTATCCTCAAATTCTGCTGCAAAAAATTATGGAGATAGTTATTTAATCAACTGCACTCATTCTGGAGCCAAATAGGTAGGTAAAATTTGCTGGATGGTGATTTTCAAGGGCTCCATTGAGAATGTGAAGATTTAGCCTAAAGACTGTTGAGCTAGAGACATTTTTAATCCTTTGAGAAACAGATGAGAAGGAATCTGTTTCCTTGGAGTTGGGGGGAGCGGAGTCTAAATAGATATATACAGTGCTTTTTTTATTAAAAAAAAAAAAGAAAAAAAAAGGTGCCGGAACTCACACACTTCATACAACCCGCCTTGCCTACCCTACAAGGTTCCATCCCAAAAAAGGTGCCGGAACTCCGTTCTGTGCGTTCTATGAGAAAAAAAAGCCCTGGATATATACTCACAGTTTTAAAAACAGTCAAAATCTCCACCTCTCAGCCCTATCTTCCTATATCTTACAACTCTACCCTAATGTCCCCAAATTTGAGGCTGATCCTTTTCGGTACTTGTAATTACTCCACACTCACTTTTTTGTGACAAGAGGCAAAAACCCACTTCTGCAAGAGTTCCATGCAATATGTACAATTATCCTCTGTGCAGTTTCTAATGGGTCTTCTTGTTGTTACATCAAAAGATTTCTCAATTTCCCAACTTTTAATAAAAATCTCAACTTCTTCCATATTTGTAATTATTGTTCTATTTTGCATTTTCAAGTCATCAGAAGGATCACCATTGCAGACACCTTAAAATAAACATATTTAAAATATATGAAATGATTGAAACAGCATTACATTTCTAAGAGAGGAAAACAAATTTAAATTTTCTCATCAGTTGGTTAAAAACTAGAAAAACTACTAAAGTAAGGTATAATCAGTTTAAGAATGCATTTTTATTTAGATTATTTCCTGCACCCATCTGCCTATCTTTCACTTTTAAAAAAGAACCAGAGTATGTCAGCTACAGGTAATCCTCGACTTATGACCATAATTGAGTCCAAAATGTCTGTTGCTATGCAAGATAGTTGTTAAGTGGGTTTGCCCCTATGTTATGGATTTCTTGTCACAGTTGTTAACTGAATCACTCCAGCTGTTAAGTTAATAACACAGTTGTTAAATGAATCTGGCTTCCCCATTGACTTTGCTTGTCAGAAGGTTGTAAAATGTGATCATTTGACACCGGTACAATGCAACTTCATAAATATATGACAGTTACCAAGCATCTGAATTTTGATCATGTGTCCCCAGGGATGCTGCAACAGTCATAAGTATGAAAAATGGTCATAGGTCACTTTTTTTCAGTGTTGTTATAACTTCGAACTTTGTCACTAAACAGTTGTAAGTCGACAACTACCTGTAGTGGAGACTTAATTCTCATAAAAGTTTTCTTTAACAGTTTCATACATTCTGATTTATCATAATTATGTTCAAAATTTCTAATTAGTACTAGGAGCGTTAGAAGAATACTTTTCAGGAAGTGAAACATAAAAATTAAACAATATAGCACAAATTTCAGATTCAATTAATTAAAACTCAGAGCATTTGCATAGAATGTAGAATTGAAAAAGTAAAAAGAATTGCCCTCAAATTCCCCATTACCTGTTCTGTTAATTTCAGCAATGAATATTGAAGCTGGATAACTTAGAACAATATTCTGTGATTATTTTACATAAAATAAATGGCAGTCATGGAAGGAAGGGAGAAGAGAGAAGTAAGACCTTAGAAAAGAAGACATTAGTGAGTGAATTTAGGCCTAAAAATTTAAAGTTCAAAGTAAGGATAACAAAATAAATTATGTATATTCTTACCACAAAGCCCTTCTGTCTTTATAGATACATTAGAGTTAAAGCCATATTGGATGTCCATAATGCCTGTAACATGAGCCCATTTAATATTGATTCCAGCTGGGGTACTGATTACATACATTGCTCCAGTGTCCTGAATACATATGCCCTCTTGCAAAAAAGGCAAAGGTTGGATTATAGAATTCACAATTACCTAAAATGATCCAGAAAAATTACAGGAATCAAAAGAATCATTCCAAGAATTCTCTCCAAACCTTCAAACAATCTCACAATATTTAAAACTGACAATACTTTCTTTTGAGAGCAGGCAACATAATTTCATTTTTAATGTGGGCCAATGTGCTCATAGTAAAAAATGACAATAACGGTTATCTTACATTACCTTACCTTACCTCATCTCATCTCATCTTTTCAAAAATGAATTATTTTTAGCAAGTACTTCAAGGCCTTATAACTATGTATTAACTACAAAATATGTAGTTATTTAATTCTATGTTTCTGAAAAACTGTCTTCAACACAAAACTTAGAGTGTGTCTTGTTTTTTTTAGCATCTGTTATGAAAGGAACATTATAACTACAAAAGACAAGGAAGCATCATTTTGGGTTGAGGTATCCTTAGTGATTCCTTATTTGCCTATAAATCCTCTTGTGATTGTATTATTTTTTTCTGCAGTATTAGTATTTTGAGAATAGTTGAATGGGACTAAGGCCACAACAGCCAACAACAGCAGCCAACAACAAAGGAACAAATAATAATAATAATAATAATAATAATAATAATAATAATAATAATAATAATAATAATAATAATAATAATAGTTGTTATTGTTGTTGTTGTTGTTGTTGTTAATTGCGAAGTCATGTCCGACCCATCGCGACCCCATGGACAACGTTCCTCCAGGTCTTCCTGTCCTCTACCATCTTCTGGAGTCCATTTAAGTTCACGCCTACTGCTTCAGTGACTCCATCCAGCCACCTCATTCTCTATCGTCCCCTTCTTCTATTGCCCTCAATCTTTCCCAGCATTAGGCCCTTCTCCAGTGAGTCCTTCCTTCTCATTAGATGGCCAAAGTATTTGAGTTTCAACTTCAGGATCTGGCCTTCTAAAGAGCAGTCGGGGTTGATCTTTTCTAGGACTGACTGGTTTGAATGCCTTGCAATCCAAGGGACTCGCAGGAGTCTTCTCCAGCACCATAGTTCAAATGCCTCAATTCTTTTGCGCTCAGCCTTTCTTATGGTCCAACTTTCACAGCCATACATTGCAACTGGGAAAACCATGGCCTTGACTATACGAACTTTTGTTGGCAGGGTGATGTCTCTGCTTTTTAGTATGCGGTCTAGATTTGCCATAGCTTTCCTCCCCAGGAGCAAGCGTCTTTTAATTTCTTGACTGCAGTCCCCATCTGTGGTGATCTTGGAGCCCAGGAAGATAAAATCTGTCACTATCTCCATTTCTTCCCCATCTATTTGCCAGGAATTGAGAGGGCCGGATGCCATGATTTTGGTTTTCTTAATGTTGAGTTTCAAGCCAACTTTTGCACGCTCCTTCTTCACCCGCATCAAGAGGCTCTTTAGTTCCTCTTCACTTTCTGCCATTAGAGTGGTATCATCTGCATATCTTAGGTTGTTGATATTTCTCCTGGCAATCTTAATTCCAACTTTTGATTCATCTAGCCCTGCCTTTCTCATGATGTGCTCTGCATATAAGTTAAATAGGCAGGGCGACAGTATACAGCCTAATAATAATAATAATAAACAAATTTGAATATATATGAATTTTCTTGATCTGGGGAGTATTTTTTTTTAAAGGCATTATTGGTTTTTAAAAAATCATGATAAATGTTATTAATAGTCATAACATACAATGTAAGATATTTATTCAGACCTGGGGCTGAAAAATGTAAACCAATTGCCAGGTTGCTTTCTGGTCGCAAATTAAAATTTAATAGTATAAACTATTAAAGTCCTAAACATCTTAGGGGCTGATTATCTGAAGGACTGTTTTTTTGTTATGAACATGTCTTTAGTAATTGGGTGAGATGGATGGTGTAAAATTTAATAAATAAATAAATTTAAGATCTTTAGCCTGCTCTATGGACCATTTCCAAGCTATGGAAAGTACTTTCATAGAGTACTTTGCCTGCTCCTTTGCTTAATTAGAAGACTTATTAAAACACATCTATTTAGTCAGGCAGTTTAATGTAAATTATTTTAATATTTAATGGTCTATTATTCTTAAATAATTAAAAATTCAGAATCTGCTTTATATACATGGCTGATATGTTATACTTACAAAGATAATCACAGTTGTTAAGCTTTCTATCAATAGTAGCCTCTTATTCATTAAGACCAGTTAGTTTATGCCTGTGAAAGAATTGGATTGCCTACATAACAACATTTTTGCCGCAGGATTCTACAGTCTAGCAAAAGCTTAACTCACCTTTCTTGCTAAGCGGTTAATAAGTACTGCATAAGGTGGTATTGTTACATTAAGTTTCTTAAAACAAAGACCAGAAGCACTTCCTGCTGGGACCTTGAAAAGAAAGGAGAAGCTGTCCTGAAACTAAAACAATTAGCAGATTACTAATCCTTAAATAATGCTAGATGTATTAACAGCTGTACTTTAAAAATACTCACTAGTTTTCTTATTGAATTTGCACTCTGAAAAATAATTTTAAAAATGAGTCAGATTTATTGTCACATAAACACAACATCACTCCAGTTCTATGGTAAATGTTATTGCAGTCTACCCTCAAGTGTATATATATAATTTGCATTAGTCCTTTCACATCTGTTCTGAACATTTATATCCTCAATAAAAAAAATTCTGAATCTAATCCAATACCTGACAATAACCCTCACTAAACTCAAAGAAACTTTTTTTCTGAGAAGGTATGAATAGCGTTAGATGTTAATATTTATAACTTATTAGGTCAGTCTGCTCAATAATACACTTCTCCTAATTGTTCTATTCATGTGGAATTATCAAGAATCATTAATAATATATTTCAGGTATAATATATAAGTGAAACATACTTTTTGACATTTATGATAGGAAATTATTTTCAAAGCATTGTAAAAAGTTTTTTTTTTCTATCTTTAGTTTTTAAAATATGAAATACTAATTATAGCAAGGTACTATGTAAGGTTCCTACCTGATTAGCAGGGCATTTTTCAATATGAGCCACAATAATTTCTGTGGGTAACTTGACTAAAATATAGGATGCTACTTTATATAGTGCAACATTATTTCCATCAAATGTAATGATACTCAGTTCAGAGAGGATAGAACACTGACCTAGGGAACAAATTACAATAAATGAGATCGCATTAAGATTTCAGGCCTCTTTCAATCTGGAATTATACACTGAATCAATTACAATTACATTGAATTTAGTAATAATAAAAATAATTGCTTAAGAAATCATACAGGTATACTGCTATCAATATTTGCTTAGAAGTACTCTATGATTTCAATAGGCCATATACTACAATCAGTTTGCAATACATCATACCGATAAAAAAGGTACTTTATAAAGTAAGTAAAATGATACCTATGCATCAAAAACAAAAAAACAGTCACCAGAGAATGAATGGTCTGACTTAGTTACAGTTACAGTTGGTGGCAATCAGCAGAAATGATCAGACTGCAAACACTGGAATTCTGCTTGTTCTCTGGTAAATCAAACAGCTGATTTGTCATTCTGTATAAATACAGCCATTTATCAGATAACTTGTTATTTCAATTCAGACTTTCATATTTTATTCTCCTAATGAAAAATTCATGTGTTGGGCAAGGATATAGCAAGCCAGTTGTCTGACAATACTGAAAAAAGTAAATTTCAGTAAATGAGAAATAAAAATTATACAAGCAGTTAAAACAGGGTGTAAATGTATATGCTGCCCAGAGGCACTTCAACCGTAAGATTAAATAAATAAATAATAAAATAAAATTGGCATTCTAGGATGTTCTTGGCATAATTTTCCTGTAATATTTAAAATGCAAGTTTAGGATTCTCTGTTTCACATATAATCTAATATACCATGCAAAGACTTACAAGGACATTCCCATTCAGGACAGCAGCTGTCGCTGTTGGTCTGAACTGGCATCCCTCGAAAACCACAGTCAGGTTTCTCCACATTCTTATGGCAGTTCTTTGAAAGATTGTACAGCATCCATTCCATGTTAATGCAGACGTATTGGCTACATTTGTCTACAGGATCAAGGTATCTTGGCTTTTTCATGATGGGGGGAAAAATTGAGTCATTGACATATGATGACATATTTTGTGTACCAAAATCAGCAGGCTCTTTTAAGTATAAAAATGTGATTATGTACCTATTGAAACTCTGACTATTGCAGTCTAAATGTTTTTATAAACATTTAGACTGCAATAGTCAGGGTTTTAATAGGTACATAATCACATTTTTATACTTAAAAGAGCCTGCTGATTTTGGTTTTATAAACATTTATCATAAAACCTCAGAAATGTGTAGGCTTATAAATATAGATCTTTGGGATTACAACACATATGTTCCTTATGGTTGGCATGTGAAGGTTAACTATAATAACACTAATTTTATTAGTCACAATAGTTATAAGGTAAATGTGCTATTAAGGGATAATCATACAGGATGTATTTACTACTGAACCATTTTATAATTAAGAAATATGCAAACATATCTTGAGAGCCAGTTTAGTGTAGTGCTTTAAAGCACTAGACAGGAAACTCAAAGACTTTAAGTTATAATCCAGCCTTACCACAAAGCCAGTAGATGACCTTGCAGAGAGGATTTAGAACAGTGAAAAGGCAGGGCTTGTCATTTGACATTCGGAAGCCCCATCCCTCTTAATCAAGAGTCCCAGGGTTGTTTTCAATGGTGGAATTCAGCCAGTTCGCACCACGTTGGCAGAATCGGTAGCTAATTTTTTGTTGCCCAGACCCAGAATGTACTTCTAGAAGCGGCATCCACACAGAGAATCAGTTGTTCACATATTTGAATCCCACCACTGGTGTTTTTTTTTTAATTAATTTGTTCCAGGGCCTGAAAAAACTAGAAATCTCTCCAATAAAGCAGGTATCACTTGATATTTTAAAAATATAGAAGTAAAAAGTAAAATAAAAAAGAAAGAAAAAAAACTATCTTTACCATGCATTCTGAAGATGTCACAGATACAAGTGTATGTATTATTGTGCCAAATGAAGCATGTTCATCAGTCTTTGTTGTCATCATTTCAACTTCAGCCTCTGTGGATTGGGTTTCCACAAGTTTTGCAGTGACTTGAGATAAATTTGTTATTGTGAAATTCTGTGAGCTGATGATACTTACTTCCTCTGGTTTAGTCACACTGTAGTAAGGTTTTGTTGATGGAATCCTAGACCAATCAAATGTTATATCTGTCACCTCAGAGAGAAAAACTGGTTTTACTGAAGTTGTGCTGCTTTGACTAGCAGACATAGTCATCTGAACAGGTGGTAGAGATGACTTTTCAGTCCTTGCATACGTTGTAATGTTTTCCTCTGAGGTTTTATTACTTTTTAAGGCATACAAAGTGCTTGTTATATTTTGAAATTTTGAAGCCTGTGTTATTTCTGTTTTGACCCAGTCTGAAACTTTATCCATTTCTAAAGGCATGGTTTGTAAAGAGTCTTTGCACGGTTTAGGTGTAAAAACAGTGACGTTCGGAACATCAATGGGTGCTTGGGAGATTGAAAGAACAGGGATTGAAGTAGTAGTTGTGTGAAAATCAAAACTTATGGGAGAGAATTTAGTAACTTCAGCAATTTTGTGAAGAGCTATTGTGCCAGCAGAAGAAACTAAACTTTCTGAGGAGCTAATTGAGTACTTTTCAGTAATATCTTGTGGGGTTGATGTAATATTCCAAAGTTTGCCTATAGTCAAAGGTGATTCCATTGCTGGTTCTGCAGACTGAGCATCTGTTAAGGAAGATAAAGTTCTCCTATCCAATGAAGAAGTCAAAGAAGGCCTTCTTGTTCCCAAAGACACAGCTGATTCATCAAAAGTGGTCAAAAAAACTGAAGACATAGTATGTATAGTGGAAATATTTGTAATTAAAGATGAATTTGTTACGCTCAAATGGTCATGTAGCAATATAGCAGGCATATTTCTATCAGTGCTAGTTGGTACTACAGCAGAAGTGGTGGGAACTGCCGGTAAACTTTCAGAATGTGATGCTGTAACAGAAATCTGAGGAGTAGAAGCTCTTGTTGTCAACATTTTAAGAGAGGTTTCTGAAGATGAAGTAGCAAAAGTATCAACACTTTTAACTGTTGATGTAATTTCTGATTCTGGATATGAATCAAATGGTTCATCAGTTATTTGTGCTTCATCCTGTGAAATCTTAATAGGAATGCTGCTTGGCTCCCTGGTACCATCAAACTCTGGCAAACTTATAAAATCAGTTGGAACTGGAGATGAATCTGCATGCAACACATGTTTACTTTCTGCTGAAACTGAACTTGTCTCTAATGATTTGGAAGTCTGAGAAACTGCTAGAAGAGAAACTGTGGAAGGCCGTAAATAAAAGCTCTTTGAAATAAGTGTCACTTCCCCAGTTCCTTTGGGCCTTTGAGATGTAATTGGAGGAGGGATTAATGTTGACGTTGTGTGGGTTATTTGGGGACTAAAAGAAGATTTTATGGGAAGAGGACTTTGTGTTGCAACTGAAGTTGTTTTATTAACTACATCAGCAACAGTAGAAAAATATTTTGTGGTTAAGGACGCAATATGTTCAGAAGGTGTTAGATGTGGTTTTTTTGACAATAGAGAAGCAGGCGTTAATGTTTTATTTATCAATTTCAAATCTGGTTGAATAGTCACTGAGTCTGAAACAGAAATACTATAAGGAGGACTTGATGCAAATGAAGTAAAGCTAGAAGTAAATACAGGAATTGGAGGCATAGTTGTTGTAAGTGTAGACAGATAAGAACTGATTCCTGCAGTTACAGCAAATGTTTGTGTTAAAGGTAAATCTGTCAGTATTGTGGAAGTTGGAAGAGTTTTAGCTACCACCGAAGAAGGAACTGCAACTTCCAATGGTGTAGTTGACTTAGTTATTAAAGAAAAAGCAGTCACTGATGGTACAGCAGTAGATGCAGGGTTACTTGATGAAAAGAAATTAGGAGTTTTATTATAGGATATTGTTTTTACACTAACCATTGGAGCTTCATAAGTACTTGGGAAAGTTGTTGGAGACAGAGATCTGAGCAGCACAGGTGTGGTGGTTTGGTTGTAGCTGTCTTCAGGAAAGAATTCTGAAGCTGGTAACAAATCAGGTAAATGCGTGCTTGAATGAGATACCGTTGCTGAATAAGCATCTTTGGCAGCTGTTGGTTCAGTTGTGATTTTAGTGGATAAGTTAATATAGGTTGGCTCAGTCTCTTCAATAACCAGAGTAAGAGGCATTTGAGAAAATGTTTCTGATATATTCGTTATCTGGGAACTTAGCATTGTAGGGTTTGTTCTAACTGGTTTGGTTCCAAATGAAGATTCTGATGGTTTCACAGGAATGCCTGGGAGGGGAAAAAAAAGTCTTATTCCATATGATTTTGAAAAGAACATGGAAAGTGAGATTTATAATCTGGTGTCACTGTCCCAGTGCTAGGTGCAGGAATCAATGCTAAATTTTATTCTCTTAGAGAATAGGTTCAGAGTTGCTCAGTGAGTCAGATGGGTGATCTCTAAATTTGATAGATAAATAAATAAAAGTAGAGAATAGCTTCATAATAGTTTTCATTTATTATTACTAGTACTAATATACCTTTTCATGTATCTATAACCAAATAATGATGCAATTTATAATGACAGATGTAACCAATAGTTCCTTTTGAAGTATTTTTAAACTGACATAATCAACCTTCTTTGCATATTAACACAAAACCCCATTCAGTTCAATGCATCATATTTATAATTCAGCACTTCTTATCAGTACATTATTATTATTAAAAACCTTATTTTAAAAAAAAATATGGATTCCACAATAATATGTTACAGTGTGCAAAGTTATCTCTTTCAGATAACCATCTGAAAGTTATCTCTTTCAGATAACCATCCATTTCACTTTCCTTTGGGTTTTACATTTCCACCTTCACCATTATATGGCCACTTCTTTTACCGAGCCTAAATTGGCCTCAGGATACATTTTAAAAAAAAAATTAAGCATTTGCCAACATCAATGTTTCCCTGAACATTTCTTTCTCATTGGCTATTGTCATATTTGTATTCAAAGAACTGTGTTCACTATTGTTATGTAACTTGCTTTCTAAAATACTAAAATACTAATATGCCTTTTACAATCTTATCAGAATAGCAATTTTATGAAATGAAACCAAAACTATTGATATTGCTGGTAACCAATGTATTCCACAAGTGTTGCCTATACTCAGGGCTTTTTTTGTCATAGAACGCCCAGAACGGAGCTCCCGCACATTTTTTGGATGGAACCTTATAGGGTAGGCACAAGGTGGGTTGTATGACATGTGTGAGTTCTGGCACCTTTTTTTTTTTTTTTACAAAAAAGCACTGCCTATACTTAATTTCAACTCACCAGAGCTCCCAGGACAATCTGTTCATAGCCCCCCATTTCTGTGAGATGAGCAGGATGGAGCCTCACAAATATTGTATCTCTGGGATGGCATCAATGTTATGTAACCTCCGCACCTTGAAATTCATCAATTGTTTTGGATTGGTTATTTAATTATTTTATCTGTGGTTTAATTTAGAGGACTGCATATTTTTATTAATATGTAGTTGAGCCCTGGATGGAGTATTTTTGCTATAATTGTAACCCACTGAGAGTCTCTTAATTACTACAGGAAAAAAAAAAAAAGAATGAATAAATAAATAAATTAAAAAAAATTTGTGGCGATGCAAGAACATTATATAAAGCACACTTACAATCTTCTGGATAAACACATTTAAGTGTGACTTCATCTAGGATCATAGCTTTTGGACAATATGGTAAGCACCCTTCAACCCTACAATAAAAGATTCAAGAAAAATATAATATAAGTAATTATTTTGCCTATATACTTGAGCGGGACTTAGAATTATTCACTCTATAGAACTTCTGAACTAAAGTAAAAAAACAAAAGCCAGTTTAATATTATTTGTAGACATTTCCAGGGGAAAATAATATTGAATGTTACAATAAATATTCCTTTTACTCACGGTGGAAGAAATTTGCATGCCGTTCCTTCAGGATCATCGCATGTTTTAACACAAGGACTTGTACAAGGTTCATATCTCCATTCACACATCCTCCTGTAAGGTATTGCTGCATGGAGTTCTAAGAAATTTTAAAACCATTTTGTAAATGATACATTTTTCTCTATAAACCATAGCTGAAGCTGGCAGAAATGCTGTGGATAATATACTCTAAATGTATCTTTCAAGCCTTTTCCTATTGAAAAATACAGTACTTTCTCGAACAAATATAGTGTTATATATCCACTGCACAGACTTTTAGATGTGTGTCTTTTATGAAATCATATACTGTACAGTAGATATATTTAGGAATATAGGCTACAGTGTGATTCCAAAGAATATTTATTTATGTAGAAATATATGCAATAAATATTTATTTATAAAACATAAATTGTTTTTCTAAATAAAAGCAACTGAAACCTATAAATAAAATATATAATTCTACAAAGATTCGCCTAAAATCTGCTGAATAAATCTATTTGCAAAAGAGTTTTTATATGAGTAATTTCAAAGTAAGGACTGTAACTATGGTTTGGTAAAAATCATAGGTTTTACAGTGTGGGGGTTTATTGACAGCATCCTCCATATATCATGAGGTGTAACTCACCCTCAATACTGAAGCTACTTAAGCTTTTGAATTCTTCAGAATCAACAAACTTCAAGATTTTCACTGCTGAAATGCTAAGTGTAAGGAAGAAACCTCTGTTGCTGTGCAGTTCAAATGCACTATAACCAGAGATCCAAAGTCCTTGGTGATGGATAAAAGTCGTTCTTCTACGAAATGACAAACTTGCATCCCACTGTGCTAAGAAAATGTTGTTGTCATTGTGTACATAAAGAAAGTAGTTTGGCCTTTCTGCACACTCAAGTGAAATCAGAGATGAAGCTGCCAGAAAAAAATGAAATTCATAGCAATATATAAAAGCCTTAATACATATTACAGCAGCATTTAAATATATGTAGGAATGATTAAGTGATAAAAAAAATTCAGAGAAACAAGCTAAATCCTACAGATCAATCCATAGTAAGATTAGGGAAGGAACGAGCAATAAAATGAGTTCCACTTCCAAATACCTGATGAGGCTGATACCAGTAAGTATATTTCTTGCCCACCTGAGAGTATTTTTAGTTCCTTTAACAAATTTAAAAAGTACATTTTTAAATCAACCATCCATAAGAAGGGAGAGTATTTACTGCTGTAGCTCAAGGGACAAATTCATAGAGTATAAGGACTCCATAGCCAGAATATCCAAAACTGTGATCTGTTTTCAAAATACTTTGCTTTAGAGATTTATACTGGATATTTCTGGAAAGAAAACAGGTAAAATGCTATGGAGCATTTTACTAAAAGTAAAAAAAAAAGATCCCTTTTAATTGCTCAATGCCCAAATAGTATATCTTGATGTCAACTCCATAGAAAGTTAACATTTATCTTGTATTGCTTTAACTGTGGAAATAGAAAAATAGCAATAGCAATATCACTTAGACTTACATATTGCTTCACAGTGCTTTATAGCCCGCTCTAAGCAGTTTACAGAGTCAGCATGTTACTTCCAACAATATGAGTCCTCATTTTACCGACCTCATAAGGATGAAAGGCGGAGTCAATGCTGAGCCGGTGAGAATTGAACTGCCGAACTGCTGGCAGTCAGCAGTCAGCAGAATTAGCCTGCAATGTTGCATTCTAACCACAGTGCCACTATGGCTCTTATCACCAAAATGTCTCTTGTCACCATCAAAGATTTTCTTATCAAGTCTATTACAATAAAAATTAATTCAATTTGGAACATGTGTTTAAAAGAACACAATCTAGCACAGCAAAAGTTAATCTTTTTGCACGTATAAAACCTGGAATTTAATTATATTGGATCAGAAGTAAATACTTACATAAAATTTTATCTTTGTAAAGTCCAGGAGTTAGCATAAAATTATAATATACATTTTCTTGGAGTTTGTTTCTAAATAATGGAAATATCTTTTTGCTGTTAACATTGATACCTATAACTGTATCATTCTGTCCATAACTGGCCAAAATATAAGGCCCTTTCCCAAGTTCTGGAAGTACAAAAATGACAATGTTAATTAGTAATAGGAAAACTAGTTATCTAAGAATAACAAGCCACTTGAAAGCACAAAAACTTGTTGAAATTAATCAAAAGTAAAATGGAAATAAAATTAGAGTTCCAAAAATCTGGATGACCAGTGCATCTAATAGCTTGAATTTTCATGATCATTCCAAACAATAATTTATACAGCTAGTATATTAACTCAATATGCTCTTGCCAATATGCCTTAACAAAGCCCTTTGATATGCACCATTCAGAAAAAGATGCCAATAATATTAAAATCACATTTCTACTTTATAGTTTCAGCCAATTTGGGGAAGTAGGGATAACTAAGTTATCATTTGCTCCTCCAAATGCTTATTTAAAGATGACCCAATTTCAGTTTCTTTCTATCGGTTAAGTAACTGGTTTCCTCTCATTTTTACAGCAAAATACTACTAAAATATTTTCCAAAATGAAAGATTTAGAGAAAAACTTCTATTAAATCTTTTTTCTTATAGAGAAACTGGCATTAGAACAAAGACAAAATTCAAGAGGTTTGATTTCCATATTCCCCAGGAGATAATAATAACTAAACTGTGAAGACAAGATTGTCATTAAAAGGTATACTGTAGAAAGGTCTAAAAAGAAAAAGAGATTTGCTTTCTATTATAAATGCAAATTTAAAATTATTAATTAATTTTTAAAGTATTCATTTCCTTTACTGGATACAAATTTACAATCTGCTTCTTTCAACTTTGACTACTGAGGCTAAAATTAGTTTCAAAATACCACAAGACTTGGCCATCAGAAAAATGGCATCCTGCCTTTTGCCAGTTATTTTGCCTGTATCCTAGACACCAGTTGTCCCTGAATATATTTGTATCTGTACCTTTTTTAGAAACAGAGCAACAACAATAAAATTATCTAAATTTATTTACATTAATAGTCAAATATTTGCATCAAATTGTGCTCATTATCCCACATGGCATTATGACCATGTTTTATTTCTACAACTTGAAATAATTTTCAAATGCAAACTACTTATTCAATAAAAAAAAGGATAAATGTCTTTGGTTCAGGTATATATACCTAACATTATTTTCTTTGATACTGAGAAAAATGCATACCTTGGTTGTAATAATCACAATCGTAAGCTGAAAAAAAAGAACAATGTAATAGTATACAGTGGCCAACAGTAACAGAATTTGTGTTCATGACAACAATATACAATCAACTAGAATTCACAAAAAAGCTACTTTTACATATTCTAATTAAGCCCTTTACTGAGCTAAGTGTTTACTCAGTTTCATCAGTAATAAAAGAAAATATAGCAGCATAGGGCCACTAGTTATGAAGATTTATTTTATTATTATGCACCTACCTATTATGCACCTACCTATGATTAAAAAATAAGTCCATATACATTTACATTTTCATCCACACTCAATAGCCAATGCAAAAGGAGAGGTGTTTTCTTTTAAAAATAAGTAATATATAAAAATATATTAGTAGATGGATGCTTCTAAATTACATTACTATAATTCTAGTCACATGATGCCCTCCATGAATGCAGTTTATAAATAGGAAAGTTTCTCTGCCTGAAGACATTTCTGTATGGGTAGATGGCTGAAGGAGTAACTAAATGGTCCATATGATGTTGAAGATGGAATTAATTAGCATGGCCCTGTCTCCATTTGATTTGGAAGGGAGAGAGGAGAGAGTCTGGGAATTAGGAAAATTTTGGTTGTAAAAGCTGTACTGATTAACATAAAGACCAATTATAAAACTATACAGTAGATTTAAAAAATCCTATGCTATGATTTCTACTATCACCATCTATACATATATTCTAGCACACTGAACTGCTATGACTTAATGGAAAACACTGTGTGAAATAATCTATAGGGATTGTATTTAGTAATATAACAAAAAGCATACATACGACAGAGAGAAGGAGATCGCCAGTGAATTACTGCACCCTGCTGGCAACATTTGTGAGCGTAAGCTGCAATGCTAGTACACAGACATTCACAGTCTCCACCAAGATTACAGTTGCACGTATCTGTATGACAGTTTTTCACAAATGATGTTACATCAATCTGGAAAATAGGGAGAAAAATAATAGTATGGAATAATTAAAGACATAAAATCCATCAGGAAACAAGAGAGATTTTAAAATTAGTATAATGTAAGCTCATCTAAAACATATTCTGTATCATAGGGTATAGATATCTGCAAAAATGTATCAGCATGATATTAGAAAGTTCAAAAGGCACATTAAAAAGGAGGAGGAGGAAGAGAAGGAGGAAGATTAATTTTATATTAAGTCTTGAGCTACAAACTGTCCTGCCCAGTTTGAGAAATTACAGTATAAAAAATATTCACTTACCACAGTACGGCAAGAGGCAAAAATATCACTGTATAAAACTGAACATTCTTTTTTGGCATAGGGGAACTTGCTCTGATGGACTTCACATTGTTTGTTGGTCTCATTTGGACTTGCACACTAATGAAAAAGAAATAAAGCATGACTATCAAATGTAATAGTCAAGTTACATAGTCAGTCAGTTGTTTAGATTGCATTTGGCATTTTTATCCACCTATCGAGTCCTTCATAAAAACCTGGGATAGGCAGATGTTGTTTCATAGTGTTAAAGGTATTGTCCCAGAAGGTAAGCTTTTCCAAGTAAAGCTACCTTTTGCAATTGATTGATGGTAATTTGGGTCAATGCCAATGGTGTTCAAATGATGCTCTAGAAATTTTGGAATTGCACCCAAGGCACCTATCACTATTAATACTATTTTTATTTCTTTTGCCACAGCCATTCTACCGCTATTTGCAGGTCTTTGTTATTTGTGATTTTCTTCAATTCTTTCTCTTCTCTTCTTTTAGATACTGCCATATCCAGACATATGATTATTATCCATTAAAAATATGATTATTATCCATTAAAAATATTTATTAAAAATTCAAAAACCTTTTAAAAACTGAATTTATATTTCTTTTTACTAAGTTAGCTTCATAATGGCCTTTCAAATGAAAATATTTAACTTGGAAAAATTGTTTATCATTTTGCTTTTAAAACAAATATATATTATTATGCTTTTTTGATACTCAATTAAATGTTTTTTTTATCACACATCATAACTGTTTCCAAAACAGTCGGTTAGAAATTGTAAATAGAAGAAAAGTTGCTCTTCTAACAACTTTTGCTTAAAATTTGCTGATCTGATAACTACACCATTCATAAATTCAATAAAAATCCACAATAAACTGACTCCTGAAAAACAAGCAAAATATAACCAAGGAAACAATTAGTAGTAAAGAGACATGAAGAGAAAATGTTAGTGCTGCAGATCTTTGCATATATTTTCTCCCCTCAATTGTTGTTTCAAGCAATTATGCATTAAACATTGTATTTTTCAGATGTTATACAGTATAGTCTGTATGTACAGTGCATTGATTTCCATTATTCATATTGAAAATTGTTTCACTTGTAACAGATACCAGATATCACAATAAGACAGCAAACAAGAGAAATCTACTTAAGAGCAAAAAAATAACGCAAAAGATCTGTAATATGATAAAATAGTACAGGTAAGACAAGGTTATTGCACTTTTATATAGTAGAATGTCACAGACAAGATAAACTTTGTATTTTTAGAAACAGTCTTGCTTCAGCTAAATAAATGTTACATTTATCTCCTGTCATGCCTCCATCTGAGCCTTAATCTGCGGAGGAAAATGAACTGGAACGGGACCCTATGGAGGCCGAGGGAGAGGTGTCTGTGGCTTCAGAGGAATGTGGGGAAGAGCAGGCCAAGGCAGGCCAGGGCCCTTCAGGATTGGAACAGGAGGAACAGGAGAGGCAGAGTTCAAGCGATGAGCAAGGGCCACCCCCACCTGATCCTAGATCACAGAGAGTGGAGACAAGGAGGGAACAACACAGGCAGGCTCAATTACTCGGGACGAGAGCATCCCGCCCTTTTCCACAAGGAACACCTGGAGATTGAGATTTAAGGAGACGCTGTGGGGAGCGGCATTTGTCGGGAACAAACACTGATTCTTGTTGTGTATTGTTGCTGATCTCTTGTTCTGTGACTTCTGTTTGGAAACCTGGAAACTCGAACTATTAGATTGACTGACCACATTACTTGACTGTTTAAAGACGTCTGAACTGTATTTCGGATTCTCTCTTTTGAAAACTGCTCAGACAAGCTAGGATTCAAACAGACTCATTAAGTTTATGTTTTCTTCCTTGTTATCTCTATGGCCTTGAGTACTTTCTTATGCTAATCAGACTGTATTTGAACCTACTTTCAGTCAGAGTCAGCTGAAGGGGTGTGGGTGTTCTTTTATTGGAGCATTTGGGGAAAATTTGGAGCAATAAAAGAACTGTTTGAATTGCCAGCTGACTGCATTGCCTCTATGCTGTGCCCTGGGTCATCACATCCCCTTAGGAAAATCCAACCAAGAATTTAAATGTTACAGATCTTCCTACATATGTTGTTTGGCCCATGGTGCGGTAAATATCATTATTCGGTTAGCATGGAAAAGATAGCCACAAATATATAAAAATGGTTTATATAACATATAAAGCTACAAACATATAAAGAACGGTTGCTGGAATTTGGTGTCTAGTTTAATGAAACGAAGGACTAGGGGTAACATGATAGCAGTATTCCAATATCTAAGGGGTTACCACAATGAAGAGGGAGTCAACCTATTCTCTAAATCAGGGCTTTTCAACCTTTTCACAGATTGTATCACTTTTAGGACATGACAATATTTGAGCACCACCAGTGCTTAGCAAGGTGTCAAAAACTTGATGACTAAAAAAGGGGGGGATTTTGGGTTTTCCTGATTAGATTCATTTGTTGTTATAGAAATGGCTAGTTTATAACATTATGGAAAAGTAAAAAGTTGAGGTTCAATGTTAATGCTTCCTTCTACTGCAACAGAGGAAGTCTGTTCTTTTTCCCTTCTCCCTCTCACTTTTCCCCCCTTTTTCCTCCCCACTGTGTCCTACTATTTGTTTTTGTATTTTTGTATTTTATTCTATAATCTAATAAAATATTACAAACTGTAGAAAAAAAGGAAAAAAGGACCAGTTTTAATTTCTTCGGTGGCTGTTCCTTTTCTGAATCACTTTCCCTTTGCACTGATAAATGTATGATGAATTTATCCATGTTTATTAATAAGCACCACTACCAGCAAACTCAGGGGTCTTCAGACTTGGCACTTTTAAGACTTGTGGACTTCAACTCCCAGAATTCCTCAGCCATCATGGCTGGTTGAGGAATTCTGGGAGTTGAAGTCCATAGGTCTTAAAGTTGCTAAGTTTCTAGACTCCTGAGCTATCTGGTTGGCCCTTGTTCCTCTCTCCCTTCTGAGCTTTCCTTCCACAGTGTAGTAAAAATGCATCTTCCTCCCCAATCCCTTTCCTGTACGTTTAAAGACACAGGAATCAAGTGCAAAGCAAGAAAGGCTCACAAAATAAAGAAACACATAAACTCTGTTTTTTTTTCTTTAAGCTGCCTCAGGTATGTCACGTGTCACAATGTTGAAAGGCTGAAAGGCTCTGGCAATTGTGAAAAGCTTTAGCCTTAAATTAAGCATGTTTACCTTCAAAGAAAACTTTCTAAAAGCCATAGACAGACTCAGGATAAGGGCGTAAAACTAATTACATTTGTTTAAAGGGATTAAACCTCCAGAAGTCAACACTTTGGATTCATTGCTAGCCTAAAATACAGACTAAAATATTCCAATAACCAAAGCACACAAACCGAGCCTCTGAATTACAAAACACTGTAAAAGCTGTACAAAAATCCTTATGGTAACCCAATCAAGCTGCCAGCTGATCCAGAACTAAATAAACCCACCTCCTTTCCGACATGCTTGTCTGCTGGTTTTTCATTTCATCAGCACTAATTGCATTCTCCTGGCTGGAGAAAACAAACCAGGGGACCTTTTCTTCCAGCAACAGTTTCTGTTTCTTCCCTGTCCCTTTTTTCCTCCCTGTCTGCTGAGCTCTCCTCTTTCCCTGTAGTCTTTTTTTCCTCTTTCCTGCCAAAACCACCTCTTTTATAGCCTCTCCTCTTCCCCCCTTTTTCTTCAGTTCACCTCCAGCTCTGTGCTGCTTCCAGAAGCGCCAATCAGCTGGAGCCCTGCTGGCTCCTGGGGCTTCTGCTGAGCCCAGACAGTCCTGCAGCTGCAGCTGCCTCTCCCTCAGGCTTGGGTCGCTTCGGCTCATTCCCATCCCCTGCTACATTTCTCTAGGATGGTCGCCTACCACCTGCCACGTGGCAAAGTACCACAGGTGGTACGAGTACCACCAGTTGAAAAGCCCTGCTCTAAATCACCTGAAGGCAGGACAAGAAGCAATATATGGAAACTAACCAAAGAGAGAACCAACCTAGAACTAAGGAGAAATTTCCTCACAGTTAGAACAATTAATCAGTGGAACAATCTGCCTCCAGAAATTGTGAGTGCTCCAACACTGAAAGTTTTAAAGAAGAGATTGGACAATCATTTGTCTGAAATGGTATAGGGTTTCTTGCCTGAGCAGGGGGTTGGACTAGAAGACCTCCAAGGTCCCTTCCAACTCTGTTAAATATCCTTTTAAGAGTACTTATAGCTTTGTGATATTCTTTGCTGTGTAATTATGAAATGAACCCTTTCAGGCTTCCCTTAGAACAAATTTCTCCCACAAAAGGGAAGTCTCCCAGATGATTTGAAGTACAATCTCCAGCAGGATGGATATTGAGATGACAGAACTATATATTTAAAGAAGGCTGCCACACAATATCCTGATCTCCTTTATTTCAATTGCCTAATCAAGTTAGAAAGAGAATGCACAGAATAAAGATAATGGAGGAGTGGGGAGGGTGTGGGAAAGAAGTACCAGTTGTAAGTATACACTATTACTATTACTATTACTACTACTATCACATCCACCAGCTTTCATAACTGTGAGCTGTCGGCTGCTGTCTTAAAATTAATTCTGTTTCCACAGATTCTCATACTTGCAATATCAATACATTATTTATTTTTAAATAAATGGAGATGTTATGCTTACCTGTCCTATTGCCCAACTCTCTCCAAAAATTTGAGCATTTTTTACCTCCATATTGTTGGATGTAGTCAGATCATTTGAAGTAAATTTGTCAAAATTTCCACATAAACCAGCTAATTTACCCTGAAAATAAAACCATTTTATTTATTTAGGAAAAACATTTTTCCTAAGCATTTTACCTAGAACAATCAAGATTTATGAAGCTAACAAACAATGCACTCATATTTTTGGAAAAAAATTGATTAATTGAATCTTAATTTATGTATTAGTATAGATTGAATAGCCACAAAACAGACACGATTTAAACTAGCTTTTAAAAAATGTAATGTTTTCTATAACCTTTTTAATGTTATCTTTTTTGTTCACTGTTTCATTATTTTCACAGCCTGTGCTTACTAGTGATATAAACTCTCATCCCCTTAATCTTATTTACCTCTACCTATAGTACAAAGGTTTGTTAAATGGTTATTAGTTTAAAACAAATCAGTGCAAACATCTCCAGATAGGACCAGAGAATTCTTGCTAGAAACATGAAAAACCAGTGCCAGTCAGCATCAGCAATCTTAGTCTAGGACTGTCTCAGTATAAGGCCATTTCCAGAGTTTTTACGACCCTAACAGCAAAAAACCGTTAAAATATCAAAACATTTCTGCAAGCATCACAAGCCATATAAATTAATTTAAATCAGAAGGAGTTATGTTTCTACTTCTTGTGTAAGAAAATGTGGCATACATGAGGAAGATAAGGGGGAGCAAATGATGTCATGAAATCCATGGCATCCTCATAGTTCATTAAGGATGAATGTATCATTGGATGCCAATAAAAATATGTGTCAATTAAAGGACTGTGTTTGTAAAGAAAGTTTGCAACTATTTTCATTATGGGGGGGGAATATCTCTGTCACAGCTTGCAATTCATTTTTTTCCTCTTTATTCCAGGATAGTATAATCAAGTGATTTAACACTATGATCCATAAATATGCAGCAATTCCAAGCTCAATAGAGAATAATTTTTAGTCTAAAAGAAAGTAAGGTGTTTATTTTGGGAAATCATATTTCTGTTTCTATTTCTGACAAGTTGAGGAACTTTTGGAACCTATGGTGTATTAAACCAAAAAATATACAGGTAGTCCTTGGCTTACAACCATTCATTTAGCAACAGTTCAGAGTTGCAACCAGTCTTGTGCTTGCAACCATCGCAGCATCCCAACTATCATATGATCAAAAATTGGGCACTTGGCAATCAGATACAGTGTCCCACAGTCATGTGATCGCCATTTGTGAACTTCCTAGCCAGCTTCCAACAAGCGAAGTCAATGGGGAAGCCTGATTTACTTAATAACTGCAGTGATTCACTTAACATCTGTGGCAAAAAAGTTGTAAAATCGTATATCATTCACTTAGCAACCACCTTGCTTAGCAATGGAAATTCTGGTTCCAGTTGTGGTTGTTAGTTAAGGACTACCTTTATACCTGTATATTTTTTCATGGAGCACTTGGCTATATAATAAATATTATAAAATATACTTTGTAAATTATTCTAAACTTGTTTTATTTATAGTGAACATAATTCAAGAATAAATTGTTTGTAGAATAGTCATCCTGTTTCCTTTTGTTATTGTGACTTAGCTTCATACTGATTCACCTTCCATCGAGCTCCAACTTTAACATGCATTGTTGTCTTCCTGTCCCACAGTACCATGAACTCTTCCTCTGGAAAATGTATTGCCACATAATATCCAGCTTTCCAAACTTGATACTTGGATTTGTCTCCATGTCTCCTGAGCATCCCCTATAAATAATAGGTACTTGTAAGGTATTAATGATGATGATGCAGTCACATGTGGTATATATATTTTTCTCTTTGAATTCAGCTGAAATCTTTCTACCTACACACTTAATTTTATTATTCCTTATCCTGCAACTGGGAACAAAAGCGAATAATTATTAATTTTCTCAATGATATCCTTTCAAATGTTCACCATCATTTCCCCTTTTTAATCTTTTCTTGTCAAGATTAAACATAGCCCACTTTTTCAGCCTGTCTTCATTTGCCCTAGTTTTTAAACATTTAAACTTCTCAGAATCTGTCCCAGTTTTGAATTATTTTTTGAATTATTTTTTAAGCATAGTGCCCAGAATTAGACACGAGGTGTGGTCTAAACAATGCAGAGTTACATTTCTCTATTCCCTCCAATGATTTGGAAACCTTACTTCCAAAAATGACATCTAAAACTGCATTTTTACAACCTCATTGCACTGCTGATTCATATTCATTTGTAATCAAATACAATTCCAAAATATTTTATGTACATTATTATCAAGCCAGATCTCCAATATTCTTTACTTGTTTTTAAGTGAACAGTTTGCACTTGGAATATGTGATAATTTGCAACATTAATTATGAACATATATTTAGATTAAGAATAAAGTATACTTTTGCACACTTCATCCATAATCAGTTTGTCTTTCGTCCTATCTACTTCAATTAATCAACATATTCCACAAAACCCACATGTAGCTCTCAATTCAAGGAAGGCTGTAAACTAGGACTGGGCAACCATGGCCTCTTTACAACCTGTGGACTTCAACTCCCAGAATTCCTGAGCCAGCTGACTCAGGAATTCTGGGAGTTGAAGTCCACAGGCCATAAAAGGGCCATAGTTGCCTCCCCTGCTCCCTCACAGTTAGAATTTTTTAAAATTCTTTTCCTATAGTAAGCATTTATTTGCAATGCAGCCTAATTATAGCATATTAAACATTCCATGAAAGTATAAATAATAATTAACTACTAATATTCATTAAGGTTTTTACCTTTCAAAGGAAGTGGCACAACCCAGTCTCAAGCCACAAAGTGAAGCAATTTAAATTAAAAGAAATTTCCAAAGATTTCAGTGATACATCATACATCATACAGATGACCTGCTACTTTCATGCTTTTGATTATACCTGAAACAGGTATTTGTACTGGGTTTCAATGAAGGACCTATACTGAACATTGCAGATCAATAGTTGGAACACATGAAAGCATAGGGAAATCGTTATCATATTAAACTGATACAATAAAAGTACCACATCAAAACTTTATGTAAAATTAGATCCCTAATCTATCAATTCTTTATTTGGCTGAACTTGAACCACTGATTATGAAGAATTTTCATAGGATTGACAGAGAACTTTAAAAAAAATAATGCTGCTTTTCCTATCATCAAAATGTTAAAGCTTAGTTTTTTGCTGAAGCTCAAACCACAGAACCTGACAGAAAAAGTGAACATTTATTCTAACTTACCACCACTGCCATTTATTAAACTGTCTTATTTAATTAACTTTAATTTTGTGTTGTCCAGTGAAGCTGTCAGTCTTCTCCCAGATGTCACCCAGGACAATTTGGCAACAGAGAGGTTCTGTGATGCCAAGTATAATAGGGATTGTGTATGAGGAAAAGATAAACTTTTTATTGTTATAAAAATATGTATTTTACTATATGTATGTTTGCTTAAGCCAGCCTTTCCCAGTCTATCATCTAATGATTATCTTGCAATTCTCTTTGTATCATGTTGCATATATATAGTTGGTGTAAAAAAACAGTATTTTGATAATCAATTGAGCTTTAGTGAATTTCAAAACAGGGAAAATAAACTTACCTCTATGTCTAGAGATTCACTGAAAAAAATCTCAGAGTCTCCAATAGTTAGCAACATATCTTTTGAACAAACAATGTCATTATCGAAGCACTTCTTATTTTGAACAATTAGAGACAAGTTTGAACTGTCAACACTCTGCAAAGGAGAAATAACATAGTTATTTCTAAAAACATAGTGACAGAACACTGCAACATCTATCTACATAAGGTATTGTCAGGCAGTGCATTCCCTTAACTGGACTACAACTGCCTTGGGAAGTTTTCTGGGTTAACTTGAGTTAATGTAGTTCTAAATCAAGTGATGTCAGGTTGACCTAGATATAAACCTTGATCAGCCAGATTGCAAAGAAATAAATGTTACTCTCTGAATTTCATACTGTATAAGGGACCCTTGTTTTATTGAAGTTGAAATGAGGTGAAATCAAATCACTTTGAGCATGAAAATATTATTTCAGTCCTGAAGATGGAGTTAATCACATTTTCTCCTTTAAGGATGGTTTCTAAGGCAGATTTGCAAATGTATTATTATCAGATTGAACACAACAGTGGTCTTCCTTTCTTTTTAGTTTTATAATCTCTCCTTTAAAAAAAATCCAAGAAATATACAGTAATCTTTGGGATTGGTGCAACCATTTGTATTAGTTGGATTGTTCTAAGGCTTTAAAGAATAGTATAAGCCATGTAATTTTTGTCACAGATTGCACTATTTGCAGCACTGAAACAAACATCCAGTATGCTTCTATTTGCCAAAAGTAATTACTTGCCTGCTCCCCTTTTCAGACCTTGCCAACCATATAAATTTTCAGAGTAGGCTGAATGCTCTAAAAAAGCTTCAGTGGTTCAGTCTGTCCCAGAATGAGAAACAGGGTTTGAAAATTAAGGTGGAAACTGAAATAAGAAGCTTTCCTGATTTACAGACATTTACATATTCTGAAAAAAAAGTGTGAAAGGACTCTGATCTATTTGTGTAATTTTCAGCATACAGAATACTTACTTATAAGGAAGGAGCAATGAAAGAATAATATTACTTTCAAACAGGAAGAATCTGAAGAGAAAGTGGCACTACTGATTGATCTTAAAGTTTAATACTTTAAAACAAAGTGCATAATTTGATCAACACTTTGAACTGAATTGGTTCTTTATATGTTTGTTCCTGCAGCCTAAGATGGTATACCATTCAGAAAGCTTTAGCATTTCATTCTGCTAACTATTTAAACAGGATAAATGAAAAATGTAATTAGTAGAAAGAAAGTTGACTCATTTGAGCTGTGGTGGTGGAGAAGGTTCCTGCATATTCCTTGGACAACGAAGATGACTAACAAGCAAGTACTGGAGTGCATAACACCAGGCATGTCACTAGAAGGCAAAATCACAAAATTGTGTCTCACTTACTTTGGCCATGTCATGAGGGGAAATTCACTGGGGAAAGCAATTATTTTTGGAAGAGTTAGTGGTAAAAGAAAACCAGGCTGCCAAAGAACACTGTGGCTGGACACCATCAAAGTTGACACAAGCCAAAGCATAGAAAATCTCAAAGAAATAGTGCAAGATCGGAAGATATGGAGAGATCTGGCCCATAAAATCACCAAGACTCACAATCAACTGAATGGATGGCATCATCATCATCATCATCATCTATTATAATATTTTTAATAAAAGCAGAAAAAAACCAAATGCTTTTTTATTTAACATATTGATATGCAAACTTGAAAACAGAGCTTTCCAAGGGAAAATTATATTAAAAATGCTATATAAAAATCTAAGCTCTACATTATTAAACATGATATATATAAACAGTAAAACCATGATCAAAGGC